TCTTTCTCTGGCTTTTGGTCTGGCAGTGTGAGGACACCCAACCTTGGATGTTCATCCTCTAAAACTGTGACCTAAATAAAACTTTCACTATAAAGTTATACAGGTTTATGTTTTTTATAATGAAAAAAATGCACTAATACAAATATTTCTGTATTTCCTAAAAATGACGATATTCTCTTAATTTCAGTGTAGTATAGTAATCAAAAGCAGGAAGTTCACATTAAACCACTACAAAAGTCCTCTGAAGACAAAAAAATACATTTCTGTTTCAAGAACCAGTACAGGATCCTATGTTGTATTTTATTATCATATCTTATCTACTTTCCATCAATCTTTCATGACTATGAATTTTGATTTAAAGACTGAACCCTTTTTCCCCACAGTTAGATTTAGGTTGTACACTTCTAGCAGGAAAACCACAGGGGTGTTCACCATGCCCTTCACAGAGCGTATCAGGAAGCACATAATGATGTTTGTATCATTGCTCATGAAGGATCCTCCCATCTTCAGGAGCTCTTAATTTTTTTTTTTTTTTGGTCTTTTTGAGACAGGGTCTCCCTGTAGCCCCAGCTGTCCTGGAACTCACGATGTAGACCAGGCTGGCCTTGAACTCACAGAGATCCGCCTGCTTCTGCCTCCAGAGTGCTGGGATTAAAGGCGTGCGCTACCACGCCTGGCTAGGGGCTCTTAATTTTTATAAATTGTGCCCTGTCACAGCAAGTAAAGGTGCTTACCTCCAAACCTACCAACCTGAGTTTGATCCCTGGACCCCACATGATGGAAAGAGAGAACCAATTTCTGCCAGTTGTCATCTTAACCTCCACATGCATGTCATGGCTGCCAGTTACATTCAGTGACTTCGTAAGTGATTAGCTTCTATAGAAATTAATGGTAGCTATTCAGTAGTAATGACATGTACTTGCTTCAAAATCAGCCAATTGATTTAGTATGTGTGTGTTTACATGCCTTCATTCTACTTTGGCCTTAGGCTAATGTATTTAAACATCTAATCTGCTAAGTCTGCCAAAGTAAACACCACAGAGTGGTTGACTTAAACTACAGAAATTTATTTTCTCTGAGTTCTGGAGGGTAGAAGAGTAAGATCAGGATGTTGTAGGGTTGTTTTCTGATAAGAATTCATTTTCTGACTTGCAGACAATTGCCTTCTCACTATGTCTTCCTGACTTTTTTCTTCGTATATTCTGGAAAAGAGAAATATCTGTTATCCTGTCCCCTTCTTTTCTATTTTGTTTTGTTTTGTTTTGTTTTAATGCATGCATGTGTGTGTGCAGGTACGCATACACATTTCTGGGTATATGTATGGAGGCTGGAGGGCAGCAGATGTCATCCTCAGGAATGCCATCCACTTCCTTTGAGACAGAGTCTCCCACTGTTCAGAAACTCACCAATTAGGCTACTGCACACCCCAGGGATCCTCCTGTGTCCACCTCCCCAACACTGAGATCCTTCCTTTTTTCTGTAAGGACACTAGCCATATCAGATTATGCCACCCGTATGACTTCATTTGTCTTTAACTGTCTCCTTAAAGGACCTATGTCAAGTAGTGAACCTTTTGTAACTGGGTTGTGCAAACATGGTATCATCCATAGGCAGATGAAAAATATTTGAAAAAGATTGTGTCTGTATTGAACATGTACAGGCTGTATTTTCTTGTCACTAGTCCCTAAATAGTATAACAAATGTTTATATAGTATGCACATCGTGTTGGTATTATAAGTAACCTAGAGATAATTTCAATTATATGGGAAGATATGTGTGGATTATGTTCAAATATCGTACCATTTTATATAAGAGACTGGGCATCATGGAGGTGGGATTTCGTGGACCCAACCCTAGGAATACTGAGGGACAGCTGTATGGCTACATTGGGAGTAATGGCTTCAACATGTGTGGGGGGCGTACCATTCATTCTGTAATGCTGAAGATGAAGACTTTTTTTTTCTCCTTTCCCAAAGAAACTCAGTTTGATGATTTCATCTATGATTTGATTTATTAATTCTGTAGATATTATTGGTAAGTATCCCATAGTGATGAACTGTCCACTTCAGAATAGGCCAAGTAAATTTTGTATTTTTACATCTTGATCACAAGCTAATAAAACATTTAGTAAGTGTGCAATTTTAAGACTATTACAGTGTTTTTATTCTTTGGATCCCCTCAAGATCTTTTAAGTAAAATTGGTTTCTTTACAGTACTTAGGAACTAAATGTATTTCTGAAGTGTTTAAGAACAATATTTTTCCCATACTTTATTATTGAACCAGTATTTAATTAGCCACCCTCACCTGTCACTCCCCTGTTTACATTGTCTTCTACACCTGATTGCCTTCCTGCTTTTTCTCTTATTGTCATGCCAGTTCAGCCATAAACCCATGAAAAACTTGGGTTAGGTTCCTTTTAGATATCATTGATTGGAATTTAAATCCATTTGTGTGTGTGTGTGCGTGCACTTTTATTTCTGTCTTATGCTAATAGGTTTTTTTTTTCATTGAAGTTAAAGTGGTTTCCATGGAATGATTTTATTTTATTTTGTCATGAATGAGTAGATTTTAGACAGTTGGAATTCTGTTTGCTTTATTACAGATTAACATGGTGAAAACTGAGGGTGAATCTTTCCCTTTGCCCATTAACAGATGTATCTTTGTTTGCTTGGGCTAATTTTCCATTTAACAATATTTATTATGTACCTACTTTGATTTAGGCACTAGTCTCTGGAGGTAAAAAGGTGGTCAAAAGTAGGCGAGATCTGTGCCCTCTTGGAGCATGGTCTTGTGGAGGGCACAGATAAATCACAAATTGATGTTAAATTACATTTTTGAGTAGTACTATGAAGGAGTAGTTCAAGATGGCAGAAGTAAGTATGTACAGGAATTTTACCTAGTCTTAGAATTTCTAAGAAGACTTTAGAAAGAATTAAGAGTGTATCGGAATCTCATAGACTGAAGAGGGAAGAAGGATAATTTAGGAATAATAATATAAAACAGAGTTTATTATGCTCATTGGTTCTGTAGGAAACAGATCTTTCTCTAGGGAACAGTTTATCTCTGCCCCATGACATCCAGGGCTTTAACTGGAAGACTGAGGCTAAAGATGATGGCTAGAGGTTGGCTCATCTGAAAGCTGGTTCCTTGGTTCAGGGCTTGGCTCTCTAGGGGACCCAAGAAAAATTATTGGACAGGATACACATAGGTGAGTTCCCCATTTAGCTTGGGTTTCCACAGAACATAACATTTTGTTGATTCCAAGTGATCCAGGAGTGTATTCCAGAGAGAGAGAGACAGAGAGAGAGAGAGAGAGAGAGAGAGAGAGAGAGAGAGAGAGAGTGAGTGCTAAGAGGAGATTATATTCCCTCATCATGACCTAGGCTTGGACATCTGATCAGGGACACACAGTCCCAACCCACTTCAAGGCCAGGGGAAGTAAATGTCACCTTTTGGCAAGAGTGGCACAGGGACCAGAAGTATTGTGGCCATTTGGGGAAAGGGTCTAACACAGGAGATATTGTGCTTCCCAAGAAACTAGATCCTAGAAAACTAGAGTACAGAAGCCTGGACAGAAAAGTAGGATATAGGGCATCACAAGGCCTCATGGGACATTAAAAATTTGATTTTAAGAACAGTAAAGTATTTTAGGATGAACATTAGATTGTGCTTTTATAAGATCAATGTGGAGAGCAAATTCGGGAGGATAATCTCCCCTACCTCCAGCCAGTTGGGAAATTGGTGAAATAATCCAGGGGTAAAGTGGGCAAGGAGGTGGCTAGGGAGGTAGACAGAAGCACATGTATTTGAGAGAAATTTACATATAATCACGAGGTCTTAAAAATGAGGATGAGACCAGTGTTAAGTCTGGTTCCCTGGTTTTTGGTTTGCTGCCAAATGCATGTGGTACCACTTGCCATGATGGAAAACAGGAGAAGCGACCTAGAGTTAAGGGGAAGCACATGAACTTGGTTTGGGACACATATTGAATTAGAAAAGATGTCAGATAGGTCCCTGCATTTGTGACTCTGCAGGTCAGAGGAGAGGTCTGTGCTGGGGATAGAAATTTATGAGTCATCTCCAGATTGTAAGATGGCTCAGTGGTTAATAAGTGCTTGCTGCTCTTGCATAGGATCTGAGTTCAGTTCCCACCACCACCTTGAACAGCTTAAAACCACTTGCAACTCCTGCTCCAGGGGTTCTGAAGCCCTTTTCTGACTTCAGGGCACCCACATGACATGCACAAAAAAATAAATCACATAAACACATGCACATACACATTAAATTTTTTTAAAAACATCAGATTTATGAGTCATCTGCTTGTAGGGATAATTGAGGTTTGGAGAATAGGAAAGACCAGCAAGGAGATAAGCTGGAATAGGAGAAGGCCTAGCACTGAGGCTTGTGGGACTCATTTGGTGCCTAAGAAGGGGAGGATAAGTCAGAAGAGGGAACCTACTAGGAGCTACCAGACCCACAGGTAGGCTGGAGGTAAGGGAAGAGAGTCCTTTTCAAGAGGAGCATTAGGCAGAGGTTAAATACTCCTGAGAAGTACTAGGAAGGTATTGAAACACAGTCATTGAATGTAATGATAATGAATGTAATGGGCTTTTTATCAGTAGTTTGTCAGTGGCAAGGAGATGAAAATGGCAAACTAAATACCTTCTTGAAGAAATGTCTTCTCTTAGTTTAAAAAGAGAAGTAAGAACAGGATGGCTGGATATGATGGTAGTTTTAATATTTCATGAGAATTTGAGAGTTCAGTTTTTGAAGACAGACATAACCTTTGCAAGGGAGTCAGGATGTCAGAATGATAAAAGTTGAGAATTTCTAAGATATTCTTCATGAAAAAAGTATAACTTTGAGAAAGAAGTTGGAATCTACCATATTGGTATTACTAATTACCATTGATTAAGCACCTGTTCTGTGTTAAATACTAAATGTTTGGAGGAGTCACTAATGGGGCATTTGCTTTTTTATTTTTATCCCCTTTTGTCAGAAGAATGATGAAAATGGAAACTGCTCAGGAGAAGGAATTGAATTCCCTACAACAAATTTATATGAATTGGAAAGCCGTGTTTTGACTGATCATTGGTCCATCCCATACAAGCGAGAAGAATCACTAGGCAAATGTCTGTTGGCTTCTACCTACCTAGCAAGACTTGGTAAGCTTTCATACTTCAGAATGCATGAGGACATTTTTGTTGACAGGGCACATAGTTTAATCTTAGTTCTTTTTTTTTTTAATGATTTGTTTCTATTATTTTTTAATTATGTAGAGGGAGGGATAGGTACACATGAGTACAGGTGCCTGAGGTGGCCAGAGGCATCAGATGCCCCTGGAGCTGGAGTTACTAGCCACCTGACATGGTTACTGGAAACTGAACTTGGGTCCTCTGGATGAGCAGTAAGTGCTCTTAAACACTAAGCCATCTCTCCAGCCCTAATCTTAGTTCTTATTATCTGTCTGTGATCTTGGATAAATCATTTATTCCATCAGTCTTTGGTTTTTGTTTTTAATCAATTTCCTTTTTATGTGTATATGTGTTCCCTAACTCTGTTTGCATGTATGTCTGGGCACCCATGCAGGCAGTGCCCACAGAGACCAGAAGAGGGTTGTCAGATCCCCTGGAACTGGTTATAAATAGTTGTTAATTACCATGTGGGTGCTGGGAACTGAACCCAAGTCCTCTACAATAGCAGCCAGTGCTCTTAACTTCTGACCTCTCTCTGTAGCTCCTCACTAGGAATTTGTTAATCCCCATGGAATAAAAGCTTTGAAATAAATCAGTTGTTAACTTCCAGTTCCAGTAGAGTATATTACACTATTTATAATATAATTGAAGAACTTTCTAGAGATTAAAATTGACTTAACACCCCCCCCCGCAAACTTTTAATTTGGCGTTAAATTTGGATTCAGTTCAGGCTTTTTTTTTTTTAAGAGTAGGAAACAAAGAGCTCTGGTAGTACACTTCCCTAATGTATATGAGGCCAGACACCTGAGAGAGGGAAGGACGAAGGGAGGGGGGTGGATAGGGCACATAGTTTACTATTATGATTAAGTATTAAATGCATCAAAAGAAATATTTTTAATTAGACCTAGATTTAAGTTTAACAGACATCTGTGTGCATTTAAGACTGATTTCCAAACATAGGCATTTACTGAAAACTTGTCCCTAATGTATATGAGGCCAGACACCTGAGAGAGGGAAGGACGAAGGGAGGGGGGTGGATAGGGCACATAGTTTACTATTATGATTAAGTATTAAATGCATCAAAAGAAATATTTTTAATTAGACCTAGATTTAAGTTTAACAGACATCTGTGTGCATTTAAGACTGATTTCCAAACATAGGCATTTACTGAAAACTTGTTAGGATGCTAGGCAGTGGTTCTGAAAAATAAAATTGTCAGCAATATCCCAATGATAAAAATTCATTGTTGAGTTTAAGAAAGCAGTGTATTTCTTCCTTTTGGGAATTTTACAGTGGATTCTTTTATTCACTTGGTAGTCATCACTTATTGTATATATTGTGCTAGGCACAGTTAGTTCTTTGTGTTTTATTTACACAGAGTTTATCTACTTGTTTTAGGGAAAAAAGACTAATTTAGGCATTGTTAAAAATATTTGTGTTTCTATAAAGCTGTTTAGGCAGTAAATAACTAGTAAGTAGCTGCTGCTCTTTTATCTAATCAGATCATGTAAATTATTGTGACATGGACATACAACAAGCATTTCAATTTTAATTAGGATCTGATCTAATGCTGAGAATCAAGGCTTTTGTGATGAATATTATGGTCTATATGTATGAATTTGGAATGAAGTATACAGACTCTACAAAAAAAATCCCTAAAATCTAAATACAGTATATCCTCTTCATTTATTTGACCAAGGTCTTTCCGAGTCTGATGAGAACTGTAAAAGATTTATGGAGAGGTGTATGCCTGAAGCATTTAAAAAGGTAAGAAAAATGTGCTAATTTGATTTTTTCTGGTGGGGGCAGAGGTAGGTAAGCTTTTTGTTTCAGTTTTGGATATTTATGAAAAAAATCAATTTGTGAATCTTATTCAACTGAGGAATTCTCTAATATATAAGTAGCTCTGAATTTGAAACTTTAACATCTAAATGTTTATACTTTGGTTGACTATAACTTCTATTTTCTATTACATAATTGTTAGAGAATAGATTTGCTTAATTATACTAGGAAATTGTCTTAGTAAACTAAAGGTTTAGAAAGATTGTATTCATTCACCAAAATAGGAACCACTTTCTGCTGTTGTTTTACTGAGACAGAAACAGATGTTTTAAAACTACTGAGAATTTCTTCTTCCTATCAAAATGGCATATGGATGGCAGCAACTCTTGTCAAAACCAGAGTAATAGATTTACTCCCCATTCTGGTCATATCTCTTAGAGAGCAATTTCTCTTCACAGTGCAAATAGAAGATCACAGGATTCATATAAAAGCAATCCGACTCAGCCTAATTTCCCTTTTAGGACATGAGTCTAGATCCTCACAAGAGAGACTATGTCATAGTCACTGTTGTTTCCCCATTGGAAAACTAAGTGCCTAGCTCATAGAAAGGACTCAGTGATCCTAGTTGAGTGAATGAGTGTGTCTCCTGCTCTCTTACACTACCCCAGTTTGCATCCATTTTTGTCCCATGTGCAAATAAATCATTAGAACTACAGAATGGAAGTTTGTATTTTACCAACTATCCATTTGTAAATGATTGTTCCCATCTGCATTTTGGGATGATAGTCCTTGGTCCAAAACTTAAAAAATAACAAAATTAATTTCAGAAACAAAAGTGGCTTAATCTTAAAAGGGAGAAATGCTTTTAATTTGTCTTTGGGGCAGAGATTATGTAGAATCAAGGTATTTTAGATTAATTTACCTACCAATTTATAATTTTAAATTTCAAAAATTCTCTTAATAAATAATGGCTTTTAAAAAGTAGCAGATTTCTTATAGTATACAATAACATAGGTCATAGAATGAGCATAAGTTTATAGAGAAGGAAATGCAAATTTATTCAGTACTAGAAACCTACTTATTACTTTAAGAAAACATTATTTCTGGGTATGGTGGTGCATGCCTTTAATACCAGCACTCCAGAGGCAGAGGCAGGCGGATCTCTGTGAAATCAAGGCCAGCCTATCCTACATAGCAAGATAGCAAGATTGAGGCTAGCTGGGGCTATAGATAGACCCTGCCTCAAGAAAGGGAGGGAGGGAGGGAGGGAGGGAGGGAGGGAAGAAAAAGAAAAGGAAAACCTTTAGGGGTCCAGGGTTGGTTCATTGGTTAAGAGCACTTGCTGCTCTTACAGAGTACCAGAGTTCAGTTCCCAACAACTGTGTCAAGCAGCTCACAAACACCTATAATCCAGCTCCAGGGAATCCAACATCCTCATGTGGCCTCTATGAGCACCCCACACACATGTGCTTTACACATACATTGATGCATACACATTCACATAAATAAAAAATAAGGAGTCAATAAGTCTTAGAAGAAAAGAACCTTTAGATTGAGGACCTCCAGATCCAGAAAGTTCTATGGCAAATTGAGTATTTGGTATATAATACTCTAACTCTGAACAGAGCTGCTTCTGAGAACTGTTTTATATTATGCCTTCAGCTGATAGTAACACAATAAGTGGTCAAATGGCTGGATGATTTTTTTTCTCTAAGACCATGAGCACAAAGATACCCTGAATTGTGTGATTCAATTTTAGGAAAGCCAAAATGTTAAATTCTCTCATGGTTTAGAGCTGCTAAGATTTTCCTACCTAAAAGTTAGACATGCTTTCTTAAATTAGAAGAGTGACAGAGTTGTGTGTACCTATAGGCTTGGCCTCCAGAAAACTTAGTAGGATTTCATGTAGCTGTGTTACTTGCCTCATGCAGTGCTCACCTTTCTCCCCTCTTCCCCAGGCTTTTCTTGCTAGTTGCCTTCTAGGTATAAGGCAGCAAGTAACAAGTGATTGTGTGAATAAAGTATAGGAAAGAAACTTGTTATTTCTGTGTTCTTCACTTTTTACCTTTCAGCCAGCCAAGATTCTTTACTGATTTATTTAGCCAGAGGAAATAATCCAAGTTTGGCCATGGTTGTATTTAAAGCTACTTCACATCTTCCCCCCAAGGTGCTGCCTGTCTACCCTTCTCTCTTCTACAAGGTAGACAGAACTTCATTTTCAAAGTAAAAAGTGAACTAATGAGATGAGAACTGAGTGGTGTGTAATCCACATATATTTTAATTTTGAAATGACATAAAGCTGCTTAAATGTCATCTGCTTCATTTTATTTTAAGACTCAATTTTTAGTTATGTGATCAATGTACAGTAAAAAAAATTCTTGTAAAAAATTAGAACATCACCAGTTTATATAAATTTAGCCTTACAATTTTTTGCTCATTTGGAATTGAGATTGTTCTCTGCAACTTCTGAAGTTTAGGCTTATTCAAACTGCTCCTTTTTAAAAATTAAAAAAAAAAATTATGTGTAGGCATGTATTGCCTGCATGTAGGTAAGTGCACCTGTGTTGTGCAATGCCCACGGAGGACAGAAGAAGCTGTCAGATCCCCTGGAACTGAAGTTACAGACAGTTGTTAGCTACCATGTGGGTGCTAGGATTTGAACCCAGCTCTTCTGCAAGAACAGTCAGTATTCTTAACCGCTGAGCCATTGCTCCAGCCCCTCAAACTGCTCTTTTTAAGTTCTCAATGAGGCCAAAATGAGATTTTTGTCATACAGTATTTTCCCTCTGATGAGAATCTGGCAGAAACATGAAACCAGCCTGAACTTGGTGGTGTGCACCTGTAATCCCAGCATTTGGGAATCTCAGGCAGGAGGATTGGGAGTTTAAGGCCAGCCTGAGCTATATATCCAGTTCCAGGCCAGCCTGAACTGACACTCTTATCTCAAAAACAAACAACAACAAAAAAGAAAAAGAAACCATTCAACTAAACAAATAGAAAAAGAAAACCCATGAAACCACCCTAGAGATTTAAGTGTAATCTTTTGATTTCTCATTCCCTGATCTGGTAGTTAGTCCTGACCTAGACTTCCTAAGTACTAGAAAACTAAAGGGTAGGAGAGTCCAGTTTCTCATGATTTTAATGAATCTAAGAAGCTCTCTGATATATGATATTTCATTCTTTTATATTTGATATTATACCTAAGAGAAATAGTTGCACAGATTATAGTATCTTATTACTTTGAATTACTTTAGATTTGGCTATTTATTTAAAAGGTAAATATTACTTTTATACATATTGAAAAGGAAAGTAAAGGCAAAATAAATTAGTTAATGTATATCTAATATTTGTTCACATTGAGAGTCCTTGTCTAGTCAACAGTTGGGAAGATTCAGTCCTGTTTCTGAAATGTAAAAAAATGTGTAAGAATCTATGAAAAAAATGCTGTCGATTTCTTAAATTCCAGAAATACTGATGAATGTTGACAACTTACCAAGATATACTAATAATTCCTTACGATCTATGAAATGCTTTTATGTTTGCCCTATCTTTTGGGCCTTGTAAGGTGTGAGTGGAATGAACAGGTATCATCCCTCATTAGAGCCTCTGAAAATCTGATAACTTTGTTGACAGCCACAACAGTTAGAAAACAAGAGTTCCCATAGTTGATCTCAAGTGGTACTTGCTCTGTGTCCCTTGGCCTCCTGTAGTAATAATGAAAAATAGAAGAGCAAATAAAAAACTGCTTTTATACAAACTTTTTAAATATAAAATTAAAGTTCAAAACAATACTTGATTGACTTTAAAATGAAGAAAAAGATGGATTAGTTATTGGTCTTAAAGTCATCTGCATTCAGAAAGGCATTTTGATCATAATTTCTTGATTGAGATTTATTTGATAAACTGTACTTTTTTTTTTTCCAAGTTAGACTCTAGACTCTTCTTTTTGTAGCTCCTGACATCAAGTGCTGTTCACAAGTGGGGTACTGAAATTCATGAAGGAATCTATAACATGTTGATGCTGCTAATTGAACTGGTTGCAGAGAGAATAAAACAAGATCCAATTCCCATTGGACTCCTGGGAGTGCTGACAATGGTACAGTATCCCAGAAAGCAATCCCTACTCTCTTTGTGTTTTGATTTAATTGAAAATATTTGCTTTTCTTCAACTCAAAGAATCATTCAGTAGCTTTCCTTATGCCTCCCTGATCACATCTTAAATACTTTTACATCGAGCATTACTTGGCTTCTGCATTTTCTATAGCACCTGCCTTTCTCCCCAATTGCAGGTCTACACTGCTTCTGCCACCCGGCTCCACCTGTGGCAGCCTTTGCCCCTTTGGGGTACTGGCATTGCTTTGCCTGAAGTCAGATGTCTCACCCCACAATCACCTCATCTCCCTCAGCATAAACACCATCAGGGGAGGGGGCATCACACTAGTCCTTTGCTCCTGTACCAGCCAGGGCCTGAGCTCTGTTGGTATTCTTCAACAACTCCATTCATGAAAGAATCCAAGGCTATATTTTTATGTTCTTTTCTAATGCTAATGTATTTTTCTGTTCTCTCTGAATGTAGGCTTTCAATCCTGATAATGAATACCACTTTAAAAACAGAATGAAAGTATCTCAGAGGAATTGGGCAGATGTGTTTGGAGAAGGAAATATGTTTGCTATTTCACCTGTATCTACTTTCCAAAAGGTAAACATATTTGTTTCATCTTTTTGTCGTGAAATGTGTTGAGAAAAGATTTTCTGTGCTGGCAGAGCAGAGGGTCTCTCCATGGATAAGCCTTCCATCTTCTCTTTCCCACTGCAGACATTTTTATGTCATAGGATAAATAATAATCTGGGTTGGAAATAGTTTGCTTTCTAGATGTTCTCAAGACACAGTGTTTTTAATGTCCTTAGCTGCTTGCTGTTTTCCTTTGTCCTTGTTACAGAGTGAGGGGGCCAGCCTGCCTCAAGACAGGTAGTTTTGGAGGAGACCAGGGAGGAGGGCCTCCTCACTCCAAGTCCACTTTCAAGAAACTTAAACAACACATAACAGTTTACAAATGTAATGTATATTGCAGTAATATAGTGGAGGAAATAAAGCAAATAACACAGTATAATAAACAATAGATACAATTACATACGATCTGTGGAATACAGAGAAAAGACTGGTTATTGTAGTGTGATGCTTCAAACAATACCCAGAAAGAAGAGAAGCACTGAGTGGCAAGGACAGTGAATGCACACTTTGAAATTTAATCTCACACTAACGCTTTGAGTTTGATATGATTTTTGCCCCCTTTTTATACATGAGAAATTAAAACCAAGCTAAAGTACTTCCCCAAACCCAAATACTGAGGTAGAAGGATTCATGCAGCCATGAATTTGAACTTTTACAGAATAGCTTCCCCCAATACTAAAATATTTTCTTCATGTTCCTTGTGTGACATGGCAAATATGTATAAAAACACTGCACATGTTTTACTGTAGTAAGTACTTAGCAGGCATTCATTCTTCTTCTTTTAATTTCTACAACTGAGACCAGAAAGATTTAGTCTTTGTCCGCTCATTATTACAAGGAATTTTCTCTCCCACGGAAGCCCTAGAGCCCTTTTCTCTTGCCTTCTCAAGCATGTTGCTCCTTAGAGTTCCTGTGCCTTCTTCAGTGTCCTCAGTCTTTTCCTCACTAGTGGATTGTTCCAGCTGTATTACCAAGCATGCTCTGGTATTGTCCGTCTCTGAAAATTCTGCCCTTAATATCACATCCTCTGTAGAGTCAGCATGGTTTCCCTTCACATCCAAACCTCATGAAAGATTCCAGAGTTTCCCTCTCTTTCTCTCAGTGGCTACCCCTAAACTTTTAACTTTCTAACTGAACAAAGCCTAAATTTCAAAATCTTTATTCTCCTCAGAGCAGTACATAAAGACCTTAGCTTATTTCCTGCGATAACCCCCTGTAAGTGTTGTCTCTGTATCTTTAGTATATATAGTTCTTTCCTATCTTTTTTCTTTTAACCTCATAAAGAAGATAGTTTATCCTATAAAATGTGCTTTAAATTTCCGTTGGTGATTGACTTTATTTTTAATGGCCTGAACTTTTGTTGCACATTTCTTATGTTTTCTTTGGCTTTTAAATTCAGAAGTGATAGCTATTTTGTCATAATATGAAATATATCATCACAATATCTTCTGGTTTTGATTGAGCCTGTTGAGAAGCTGGCTGCTAGTCTGATTCCTGAAGAGAAGTGCATCTTCCTTCTCTGCCTGTATTTTCAGATCTCTTCTTCCTACTTGATGCTTATCTTTTTGACTGTCATGTCACTGACCAAGGTACTCTTTTTGTTTCTTTTGTTGCAGATGCGCTGGACCTCTAAATCTAACGGTTTATATCGTTGGGGTGGGGAGGGTTGTTCCTGTGAGTTTATACACATGAGTATGCAGATCTCTGTGTGAGATGTCAGTTATCTTCCTTGATTACTCTCTGCTTTGGTTTTTGAAATAGCAAGCATTTTACCAGCTGAGTCCTCTGATGCCCTCTGGTGGTTTAACCTTGCATCAGCTCTGGCCCTTTTTCAGTCATTACCTTTTTACAAATTGCTTTTCTCTGTTAGTCTTCTTCTGGAACTTTGATTAGAGATATGTCATACTGCACATTCTGTCTTCCATGTCCCTTAACTACCTTCATATTTTCCATATTTTTTTCTCCTTGTGCGGCATTTGTAACACTTTTTCCCCCCAGATCAGTAGACCGGTTTCCTTTTTTTCCTATTTGTATTTCATTTTCTATTTAACCTGCTCATTTAAGTCGTTAACTTCAGTATATTTGAGTATGTTTTATGTTTGAGACAAGACTCAGTGTAGTTCACACTGGCCTTGTATTCATGATCAGCCTTCCTCCACTTCCCAATTGTTGGGATTTTAGGAATTACAGGCATGCAGTACTTTACCCATCTTTTTATTTGTATATCAGTTCTCTTTAGTTCTCTTGACACTGATCATTTAACCTTAGTTTTTTTTTTAATTCACTTTAAGTTTATGTGTATGAATGGTTGTCTGCAAAATGTATGTATGTGCACTACATGTGTGCTTGGTACTCTCAGAGTCCAGGAGAGAGATCCCTTGGAACTGGAGTTGTAGACAGTTTGAGCTGCCATGTGGGTGCTGGGAGCTGAACCCAGTCTTCTACAAAAGCATCAAGTGCTTTAACTGCAGAAACATTTCTTGAGCCCCCAGTCTTAGGTCCTTCACTCATATATTTGATGTGTGGTTATTGGTTGCTCAGTTTATATTCTGTCTTGTATCTGTAGATCTGTTTTCTACTACTTGTTACTGTATGTATGTATATGTGTGTTTAGAAGTTATATTTATTCTTGTTTTTCTGTATACTTACATGTCTTAGAATTTAAGGGGGGAGTGTTTGATGCCTGAATTGAAAGTTCTTGTCCTCCAAAAGGGATTACTTTTATTTCTTCTAGGTGCCTAAAAGCACTGCAGACTGTGATCATTTTAGAATAAATGTTGGTTTCCATTAAAATGCACACAGGCTCCCAGAATTGGGTACAGTAAGGTTTTTCAGACCGTAAAGTCAGTGAAATTGAGCAGCCAAGCTAGATAAATACAGCTTTGTGATTACTCACTCTTAGAGAACTTTGGGTCCCATTTCTGCTCATCTCTGTCCAGTAGCAAAGGCAGATAGGCAGGTTTCCTTGTTTTCTCCTCTGCAGGTAAAGGCTTGAGTTGCCCTTACATTAGATGTTTTTTTTTCTTTTTTTTCTTTTTGTAAGTTCCACCTTTATGTGAGAGTCTGTTCTGAGTTTCCTTGCCCTCACCTTGGTTCTATGTCCTGTTTCTCATGAAGATGGGAGTTTGGAGTATCAGGGTTCCACGTGTACCTTTACAGTGAACATTGCCTCCAGAGTTTGCTTACCTCACAGGATTTCTGCCTCCTTCTTAATTTCTGAGCTCTTTGTTGCCATCTTACCTATGTGGGAAAAGGCGGTACGCACACGGTGTATATATGTGTGTGCATGCATGTGGAGAGCAGAGGACAATTCCCTGTATCTTAGTCTCTCTCCCCTGTAGCCCTAGCCTACCAGTTTCTGTACAGTCTCACCCTTCCTTCTATGTGCAGTTTCATGTGTGTCATTCTCCATACCTCAGCATGTCCAAACTGGGAAAGATTTCTCTCAGTTTTCAAACACAGTAGACTCTGCGTTCTCCAAACAACATTGGCTACTTTAGTCTCTCTGAATGGACTATCCTTTAAATGGCTAAATGTCTGGCATCTTTCTGGTTCCAACTTAAAAACTGCCTCATACATTCTTCCATGACCGCCACTCTGAGTAGAGATGATTCCTTCTATTGTTGTTTGAAGAACCCTTTGCTTTTACTTTTATAACCATGTAATATGAATTACTTGTGTCTGTGGTAATTTGCTTGGTTTTGTTAACTCTCCTAAAATATGAGCTCTATGAAAGCAGGTATGATATCTCTTCTGCCCAAACCTAAGGCCTGTAAGTGCTGGGAAAGAGAAAGGAGGAGAAAAGAACATGAAGAAAATGCATGCCTAAGGGCATTAATGGTAAAGCTGTGACTAAAACACCAACCCCTTAATTCCTCATTGTCACTTTTTCTTTTTATAAAGACAAGGTCTCCTGTAGCCCCAGCTAGCCTGGGACTCACTGTGTAGACCAGGCTGGCCTCGATCTCACAGATACCTGCTTGCCTCTGCCTCCCGAGTATTGGAATTAAAGGCATGTGCCACCACGCCCAGCATACTTTTTGTGTAATCATTTTTAATTTTGAAATAAAACTTTGAGCCATGTATAGTGGTGTACTTTTCTGATTCCCTGATTCCCAGCACTTGGGAAGTAGAGGCAGAAGATCAGGGATTCAAGGCTACCCTCAGCTGCCTAACAAATTCAAAGCCAACTTGGGCCTCTATTACTCTGTTTTGGAAAGCCAAAATAAGATACAACTTACTTGGAGAACTTAACCAATCCCTGGTGCCCCAAAACACATGAATGCTCCACCTTGTGGCAATCCCACAAAAATCTAGACTTATATGCTTCAAAAATTGTATACAATAATATCAAAGAATTAAGAAACATTTGGGAAGAACTTTCAAATCAAATGTAACACTGCTTTTCTTCTGACTTTCCATTCAGGTTATAAAAAATGCAAGGGTTCTTCAGGGAAGTTTTTACACTTATTAATTTTGGCTTTTTTTTCCTCACAGGAGCCTCATGGATGGGTTGTGGACTTGGTAAATAAGGTAGACACTTTTATTAATACAGTTTTGCGATATCATTCCCATTTTCTAGTGCGATTTTTCCAGAGCTGAGTTTTTTAAACAAATGACAGCTATGGAGAGTAATCCCAATATTTTCTTCAGGAGATAATGTTATATAGTTCCTTCTCTATATGTATATGCAATGTGTACAACCGAACCTCAGATTTGGGCTTAGCACATCTGCAGTATACCACAGTATACCACAAAGGCACAATTGCATTCCTGGTAATTCTTTCAAGATCAATTTTATAGAATACAGTGGTAAAGTAAAATGTTAGCCTTAGTTTCTTACTTAGATTATTAGGGTGTAGCATTTCAAAATTAATTCACACCTGCTTTCTTTCCAGTTTGGAGAATTAGGTGGATTTGCAGCAATCCAAGCCAAACTCCATTCAGAAGATATAGAACTTGGGGTGAGTTAAACCACTCACTGTGCTCAGTGTACAGGTTCACTGTACTTGAGTTGGTAAACAACCAGGAGACACTATCTGAATACATGGAGTTAAATCTGAAAGTTAATCAGGTTTGAGAGACAATTTGGGCAGTACAGTGTTTGTTGTGCAAGCATTTAAGTGCCTGAGTTTGATTCCCAGTCCCCACATAAAAAGTCAAACGTGGTAACTCATGCTTATAATCCCAGCTCTGGGGAGACAGAGATAATATGTATGATGATACTATGCTGCTTACTATAATTGGATCAATGCAGAAAATGATGTGGTAAAATAGTATTCCTATGTATTACAAACTGGGCTCACAGCAGTTTGTTCTGTGGAATTGACTCGTCAATTCCCCTGGTCTCTCTTTGGCTGAAGGCAGAACATTGATCAGGAAAAGCAAATGGTTGTGTGGTAATAGCACCCTTTCTTGCCACCACTGGCTAGGAAGCCTCCTTTCCACATCTTGAAGTTACTTAGACTGGATTGCTTGGATTGTCCTTTGATCCCTATACTAAGTGTGTTGGAAATGGCTTCTTGACTTGGGAACATAACTGATTTTAAAAAAGAAAGAAATATCCTTCAGAGACAGTTTTGTCTAGCTTATTTGTTTCTCAAGAACTGGTTGTTAAGTCATTGGGTAGCACCAAAAATTAGTGCAATTTCTGGTTCATAGACTATACATACATCTTAAATGAGAATTGACTGCTAAATCTTTCTAAAAAGCTATACATCAGGGCTGGAGAACTGGCTCAGCAGTTAAGAGCACTGGCTGTTCTTGCAGAAGACCTGGGTTCAAATCCCAGTGCCCACATGGTGGCTAACAACTGACATAGCTCCAGATCCAGGGGATCCAATGCCTTCTTCTGTCCTCCACAGGCACTGCATGACGTGTGCACTTACATACATGCAGGCAATACATTCATATACATAAGTAATAATAAAAAAAATAAATTTTTTTAAAAAGCTATACAACCAGTCTGTACTCAATAAGTAGTACTAAATAATTTTCAGTCTGTGATTTCCCAATATAATGGACAAATGGTACTTTGTTTTCAGTACTCTGATATTCTGTGAACTTGAGCATTTCACCATGTAATTACTAGCAGTTTGTATTTTGCCTATAAATTGACTATTTAGGTCTTGGGTAGTGTCAATAATTTTTAGAAATCCTTTGTATATTAAGCCAATTTTGTGTGAGTACATGTGCATATGTTTATGGGCACATGTGTGGCACATGTGTGGAGATCAGAGGACAACATGTTGCAGTCAGTTTTCTCCTACCATGTAGGGCCTGGAGATTGAACTCAGTTGTCAGAGTTGCTAGTATTTACCCACTGAACCATCTTGCCTACCTCATATACCTATTTTTTTCTAACGTGTGTAGGGAATATTCTTCTGCCTCAAGGTTATTGTTTTTTCTTTTTATGCTTTTGTAACTTTTTAAACTTAGCTCTTGATATATCCAGTTTATTTTTTTATATTGTATAAGATGGGGACCTAATTTTTTCTTTCAAATGACCAATTGATATTAGATCCTCTGTTGAATAATTCCTATTTTATTTATTTTTGAAAATATTTTGCTTATTATTTTTATTTTCTGTGTATGAGTGTATTGCCTGCATGTGTGTAAGTGCACCCATGTCATACAATGCCCAAGAAGGTCAGAAGAAGGTGTCAGATTCCCTGGACCTGGAGTTATGACAGTTGTTAGCCACCACATGGTGCTGGGAACTAAACCCAGGTCCTCTGCAAGAGCACCCAGTGCTCTTAACTGCTGAGCCATCTCTCCAGCCTGGATAATTCCTCTTTTTGTTACCATTTGTTTTTACTGGTTTTGTCATATATCAGAACCCCATATGTATGTGATTTGTTTTGGGCCTCTCTTGTAGGCATTTATTCAGTGCTAATGCTTCCTGTTTTGATTATTGGCAGTGCCACTGCTGCCCATGGTTTTCTAAAGTCTTCCAACTTGCTTTCATATTTTACTCCTCTACAAATAGCTAGCATGTCAGAAAAAACCACTGAGACCATGTTTGGAACAGCGTTTAAATGTATAGGTCAGTGCACAGAGAATTGACATTTTTATAATATTGATATTTCTTATTCAGGAACACATTGTCTCCTTCGTTTATTTGGAGCTCTTGTGAATTTTTTAGTAACATTTTCTAATTTTCTTCAAATAAGTCTTAGTTGGGGGTGCGGGGTTAGAGGCATATTTCACCTACTCTCTAAATTTCTCCTTTTCAAAAGAAAATATTTTAATATTATACATTATAAACTTTAGAATCATTCATTCCTCCAGAGAAGTTTTGTTGACATTCTAATTTAAATTTCTATAATAATTTAAATGGATTGATGCCTCCCTATTACTTCCTGTTCTAGAGTTTAGTTTATATAAGCATTCTTTCGTGACTTGATCAAATCACCATTTAAATTTTTCTCAGATATATGAAAAGGGATTTGCTTAATTTTGAAAGGGAAACCTCCTTCACATCTTTCTGTTTACTGTCTTTTCCCAGGCGGTGTCCGCCCTGGTGCAGCCCTTAGGCGTGTGTGCAGAGTACCTGAATTCCTCCGTGGTACAGGTATGATTAAGCTGGTTTACATTATCACTCCAGATGAGCCAAGACATGCAAACAGTATTAATTTTCTTGTTATCATGTTGCTCAGAATGGTGCGTAATATAGAAAAACTTGTTTTTCAAAGGCACTGTCCTTTTAGTAAAAATACTGTCAGAAAATAATAAAATTCTAACAGTTCAAAGTGTAGGGAGACCTCTACCATTTGAGACTTTTTAATGATTCATTTTTATCAAATATACTTTCTCTTTGCTGTTGTTTTTTTCTTTACTTTTTTATAAAGAGGAAGCATGGGTCCCTGTCTTCTTCACAGGATTGTTTCATTGCGATTGTGGGTTACATTAGATTGGTGTTGGCAGTCAGCTAGGCTTGCTTACTAACCTAGTCACTCCTGAATAACAGTTTTGCAGCACATCATGTCAGACTTGCTTCCTTTGCAGAATTGTAATTCAACAAGTCATAATAGTCAAAACTATGAGTGTTCAGTTTTCCTGGACTCTATGTGTGTGTGTGTGTGTGTGTGTGTGTGTGCGCGCGCGTGCGTACTACTATACCAGAGGTCAATGTAGGGTATCTTCCTCTGTGACCCTCTACTCTTTTATTTCAATACAGGGTCTCTCTCTGAACCTGGAGCTCACTGACTAGTCCAGGCCAGTACGCTCCAGCATCCTCCTGTTCCCACCTCCTGGTCCCTGGGATTGCAGGCACACACCTGCTGGTCTTTTCATATTGTTTTATTTTTAACATGAATGCTGGAGATCTGAACTGAGGTCTATATAATGGCACAGCAAACCTTTTCCCCATTGAGGCAACTTTCTAGCCCCTGAATGTTTTCTAATGCTAAAGGCCTATGGTACTTTCTTACTCCTTTACATTTCATTTAATAAGCTTTGTTAAACAAAATGTCACATCAGAATATCTCCATTTTTAATTTTCTTTATAAATAAGCCTTTGAAACCTGTAACTTACATAGATTGCAGAAAATTGCATTAAGCTTAACGCCCTTTGGAAGCCATGTTTCTATATGTACTGTTAATAGCTTACTGCTTTTGCTGATCATGGTGGGGCACACCTTTAATTCCAGCACTCAGGAGGCAGAGGCAGGTGGATCTCTGTGAGTTCAAGGACAACCTGGTCTACATAAAGAGTTCCAGGCCACCTGGGTCTGGTCTGCTGTCATTCATAAATAAATAATAAATAAATGAATAAAAATAAATAAATAAATAAATTTTACCTCTTTTCATGTAATGATTTAGAGTTGGATGTATGATTGTGTTACAATTCTGGGGCAGTATGTCATGAATCTCATTCATAGCAAAAATAGTTTATGTGATAGCATATTTTGCATAGTCTATGCTTATATCCACTTTTTAAAAGTCAAGTGCAAAATATTTACTTTATCTAAAAAAAATGCTTTATTACAAAGTTAGCATACCAAGCCATGTGCGGTTGGGCATCACCATGGAGTGGGGCTGAGGAAGAGAGGAAGAGGAGGAGGGCAGAGACAAGTTGATCTCTTGTGAGTTCCAGGCCAGCCAGGACTACATAGTAAGACCCTGTCTAAGAAAGAGAAGAAAAAAACGTAGCCATACTCTTACAAGATATAATGAGAGGGACTGTTTTATAAACCTGAGGCAAAGAATCAGTTTAAAGAGCACTTGGGTAGCTAAATAATTATTAGTGGCACTGATGCTAGAATTCACATTTTCATTTGTGAGTGATGGATGAAGAAGTAGCTTCCCTATGCTCTGGCTCATACTCAGTTCTTATTAACTGGTGTTTTCTGTCAACAGCCCATGCTAGACCCTGTCATCCTAACTACAATCCAGGATGTACGGAGTGTAGAGGAGAAAGACCTCAAAGACAAGGTAATTATTGTTTATAGCCGGATAGGTCTAGAACCATTAGTCAATGAAAGCAGAGCTAGCACTTGGCAGGGTTCCCACACCATTGCTCTCTAAATTCTGATCTCATGTCATTCAGATCAGATTAACATTAAATTTCCTAACATACCCCCCCAAAATGGTATTTTTTAAAACAACTGTGGTTAATGTTACGTCCGTCAATATAATGAATATAGTATTCTCAGTAAGTGATACCGTTCAGGATTTTTCTAACATAATTTTAATGATATTGTAATCAGCATGGATTAAAATAATGTATTTTTTTAAGTGTATCTGAAATTGTTTAGAGCAGTGTTAACACTTACCATGGTTTTTTGGCCTTGAATTTCTTCTAGAGCAATTCCTTTTTCTTTGCTTAAGTTTTGTTTAGAAACAAATGTAGCTAATTGGCCATGTAAAACATGATCTATCTCCTGGCTGTTACCCTATATTATGTGTGTCGTGAGAACTGGCATAAAAATGTTTTTACAGTTTTTGTTTTTCTCTTTTTATTAAATGAAAGAGATTGGTTAGCATCCCTGAGCTCTTGTCTGCCATTAAGTTACTTTGCATGCGCTTCCAACCGGATCTGGTGACAGTTGTGGATGATCTTCGCCTTGATATCCTGTTGCGAATGCTAAAATCACCACATTTTAGTGCTAAAATGAATTCCCTCAAAGAAGTAAGTTTGCATTTGTTTCTAGAAGACTTGACATAAACATCTTACTTTCTGCCAAATATAATTAATATAAAAATGTTGGGAGAAAGAATAATTTCTCCTAATCATACAAAATAGAGATAACAGCAATGCATATGTTTATAGTTGTCAGTAAAATAATCTTATTCATACTACTTTCAAAATTTATTCTCTGAAATGTTTAGTGTTTTGTGAAATTTCCCACAGTATAATCCTTAGAGATTTGCTAAGGGACAATTCTTTTTTATTTCAGCTATGACTTTTATCTTCCAACAGATGTTAGGATAAAAACAAAATGATTTTAGCAGTATTAATGTAAACAAAATTAAAAAATAATTTTCTGTAGCTTCCTAAAGCTCATATTAGAATCACAGAGTATGGTTGGGCTTGATGAATGACTAATGGAACCAATATAGTTCAGTTATAATTCCAGTCATGTCTCCTTTAGTTTTCCTTAGTTTTAAAATTCTTGGCTCCAGGTGAAATAAACTGGACCATTTTAGGCCAAAAGAAGAATTTATTGAAAGGAGACTGAGCTGTTTGACATATGTGAAGGACTGAGAAGCCAGACCCTGAATAGGCAAAGACATGTGTGAACAAGTACAGTTTGACTTGGCTCTTACCAGTACTCGTCCACATCATGCTTCTGTACTCCGGAACATCTTCATGTTGTGGAGATGATGGCCATGGATAGCTCCCAGGCTTCATAACCTGAAGTTCTCATCTTCAGAGAAAGAATGACTCTTTCTAGTCCCTGATTGCAGTTTGAGCTAATGCACATCATTCATAGCCAGTGGGCCACAGAGTAAGAGCTGTAAGAATGAGTCCATGTTCTTTTTAAAGAGACAGTGCAATTAGTAGTCTGTTAACTCCTCAAAGCTAACTTGGCTTTGATATACTTTGGCTAATTATCAGACTATACTGTGAGTTAATAGAAATTACTGCATGTTATATATGAAGATTTTGATTCTATGAATCATATTCAGTCACAGTCATGCTGTCATTTTAGGTCACCAAACTAATAGAAGATAGCACCTTATCCAAATCTGTGAAGAATGCTATAGATACAGACAGATTACTAGATTGGCTAGTTGAAAACTCAGTTCTGTCGATTGCACTAGAAGGTAAGTTGTTTTCAAAAAATTTTAAATTACTTGTAATTTAAACATGTAAATTATTTTTATTTTAAAAAGATTCACGACTGTTCATTTTTATTAGCCCTTAAATAGTCTTAGGAAGTTATTTGGCTTTGAAGAAATAGAATTAGAATTGTAGAGAGTCAGTATCCACTGCATCTGGCTTCTTTTCTAATGTTTCTTCTTTTAGGCAACATAGATCAAGCACAATACTGTGATCGCATAAAGGGAATTATTGAACTCCTGGGCAGTAAATTATCTTTAGATGAGCTCACTAAAATTTGGAAGATACAAGTAAGTTGATCAGAATTCTTTCTACATTTTTCTAATATGCTTGGATTACAGGAAAGGGAGGAGGGCTGTGAAGAGTCTGGGAAATGGGACCTCATTTTGCTTTAATCAGAGGAGCTATACCCACTCTGTTTTACAGTTTGGGGTTTTTATTAGAATTGTATATATATAATGTATTCCATACTCATAAAATGTTTCAAACTACTGGTCTGGTCTTCTCATTGCTTCAATCAAAAAATTTGAAAGCATTCCTGAAAGCTCCATGTGTTGGTGGCAGAGCTAAGAATAGGCGTATGTCTTTTGTTTACCAGCCTAGTGTTCTTTTCTGTGTATTGTTTGTCAGTTTTCATTAATGGTTTTTCCTACTTAACTTAATAAATGAGGAGGGTAGGATTACTGAGTTCAGATTTCATCTTACCAAGACTGATCAGGTATGGCAGAATCTTCCATGCCCTCCCTTTCTTGTTCCCTTCACTTTGGTCATTGTCCGCACTACCGGTTTTCTGTATTTCTGTCCATCCTTTTTTACCCCCAGCCTTAAACTTGCACTCATCTGCTCAGCTTCCAGAGAGCTGGGATTACGGATGTGTACCACCTTGTCCAATGGGTATTCCCTCTAAAATTTTCTGTTATTGATTCTTTTCTATTTGGCCTTAAATGTCTGAAGTTGTTTTTCAGGCCCTTAGTCATTCACCCTTTTCTAACCACAAAAGATTTTGTCAATCAGAGTCATCCACTCTGTGGTTTTGATTACATTTGTGTGCTGCTGACTATGATTCAGACTCTTCTTGGAGCCCCAGTGAAGCATGACTAAATATATAACAACTTCACCTTCACTTAGGTATCTTATCGACACCTCACACGCACTAAGTCCAAACTTAGTTCTCCCTCTTTTTGGTATTATCCTTTACCTAATTGCTGAGCCAGAGAAGAAACCTGGTGCTCCACTTAATCTCTGTATATCATTAAAATCTACTCAGAAAACAAACTGTGCTAGGTATTTCAGATACAGATAATTGACTATTTACAAAGGTGTTGTTGAGGTAGAAGAAGCTGGAGAAGCAAAAAGAAAGCAGGGGCATCAAGTCCAAGGAGAGGACACTGCAGTGGGAGGGCTGCAGGGATTCTCTGAGCTGGAAGTACTCCTTCCTTCCTCCTGCCTTTTCATCTCCCAGCACTGCCCCTCACTGGCAGAATATTGTAGGAAGATAGCTGAAAGAGGACTGTGAGAAATGCAGTTAACAGGGTCCCTTCTCAGCATTGCAGAGTAGCCTACAGAAAGTCAGGGGCAGGATTAAAGAAAAACAGTCCAGTATCCCTAAATTTTACTTCCCATGTCTTGGCCTTGGGTCCAATATTCTTATATAATTTTGTCAGAATACATTTTGAATCCACATGAAGTTAAAGATTAGAGTCTATGATGCATATGTGTATACGTGTGAGTGTGTTTATACTACACTGAGTGAATAGCCCTATATGCATAGTAGATATGGAGAAAATTAAAGAACTGAATCTACAAACATCCCTGACCTTTGATCTTAATAGGATGAGTAGCGAGACATGACTATGCCATGATTGAGGCTATAAAGTGAATGTCAGTCATCCACAGTACAGTCAGTAGTTCTGATGTAGAGACTTAATGCTCATGGGTAAATAAATCTCATAAGCAAGATTGAAAACGAGGCAGATAATACTCATCTAAAGCGCTGAACACCATCTATGAAGTACCAAAAGTGTATTTGTCTTAAAATTTTATCAGTTTTAAGTTCTTATCTTGTTGAAAATCATTTCAGTTGGATTTTTCGTTGGCATTATCTTATTCTCCTTCTAAAGTAAATGTCAGACTGAGAACTTGATTCTTAATGCCTTTTTAGATTGTCCTTTAAAAGATTTGTTGCCACTAGGAATTTAAATAAGATCAGCTGATAACCAGTAATAATAGTTGCTTCCTGTAGTTGCCAGTGTTATCTTGCAAGTGAATGCTGATTAGCTACAGTCTATTTGTCTTTGTTATGTTGTTGCTGCTGCTTGTATAAATAGCCAGGGAGAAGACTTTAATTTTTTCTCAATGTCTCATTTTTTTTTCTAGTCAGGACAGTCATCCACGGTAATTGAGAACATTCACACTATTATTGCTGCAGCAGCTGTGAAATTTAATTCAGATCAGCTTAATCATTTGTTTGTTCTCATTCAGAAGGTATGTGGTTAGTCAAACTCACTTTAGAATTTTACTTAAGTGTTTTAAACTTAAATGTACTCTTACTTTATTAACCTTTTAAACTCAAGTTTAAAGTTTTTGCTAATTTCATCAGCTTGACGGTGACACCTTCCCTATGTCTTATCTATTCCATGTGCAGAGCTGGGAGACCGAGAGTGACAGAGTAAGACAGAAGCTATTGAGTCTGATTGGACGAATAGGCCGGGAAGCTCGATTTGAGACCACATCTGGAAAGGCAGGAAAATCAAATGGATTTTTCTAGCTACAAATGCTTAAAGCAGTCTTATGTGCTTATCGGCTGGCTCATCATAATGGTGTTATTGTAGGTGTTAGACGTACTCTGGGAACTGGCTCATCTTCCAACCTTGCCCAGTAGCCTTATTCAGCAAGCCTTGGAGGAGCACCTGACAATTCTTAGTGATGCCTATGCAGTGAAGGAAGCAGTCAAGAGGAGCTACATCATTAAGTGCATAGAAGACATTAAAAGGGTTGGTTTTGTCTTTAGTCTACTTTTGTTAGAGCAACAGTATTATCTGAGTAATTAGAACCAAGTAATTCTCTTCCCTTTTAATGTAAACTAAACAGAATGTCCTATCTGGAAGCTCTTACCTAGAGTCCAAATTTGGAAGCTATAGACTTTGCTTTTACCAAGTCACTTATATTTCTCTTAAAATGAATTTTCAGCCTGGAGAATGGTCAGGTTTGGAAAAAAACAAGAAAGATGGATTCAAGGTAAGTATTTGCAGATGGAACCAACTAAGAGGTATACTAATTTCATAATTACCTTTAATAAATTACATCACACTTAAAATTAGTGTTTATTAGAGTAACATTATTATACAGATGTGTTCTTCATGAGCTGTGCTCTATTTAAAAGTTGGTAGCTATTTACTCCTAAAGGGGAAAATTTTAGGGTCCCATTGAAAGAGTAATTTTTATAATTTTATGAAATCATACAACTTTCAGCTTCATTTTCTTCTCTTAAGTTAGATCTAAAGTATACACGATTTTAAAAGTTCTTTGAATTCTAAATAAATTTCATCCCCATTTTTCTCCCATAAGGGAGAAATGAAGGAACATTTGTGGACAAAAGAGAGACGAAGGGAAGACGGTGCACGTAGTGAGGGAATATAGGGGTTTTAGTACTTCATTCGGCCGTGTCCCTTAAGTAATGGCCTAGACACAGTTACTGAATTAGTGCTTGGTGCTGGTGCTCACTTTAGAAGGTAGGGCTAGATGACAGCTGCAAGGGAGACGATGCGGTAGGAGCCCTGCTCTTCAGGACCCTGGCCTCCTGGTGGCAGTGAATTTGTGAAATGGCTTTGGAAATGTTGGTTGCAGGTGCAGCAGTTAGTGATCGCAGCACTCCTGTTGCTTCATCTCTAAAACTCAAGTCTCCCCTGAGAGAGGATTGATCATCGTGGCCAGTTTACCTGCACCTACTTTTGTTTTAATAGCAGCCTAATCTGAGAACTGTAGGCAGCCTCCCAGGTAGCCCCAAACTCAAAGCCTAATAATAAATAGGACAGATTTTGTTTTTACAATTTCGTTATTTTTAATATAGGAAAAGTTTTTGATAAAATAGTGACTTAATATTTCATTAGTCAATCATTTTTCTTGATTTTCACTGGTACTTCTTTAAAGGAGCTGGAACACTGCTAATTTTCATTGGTATATGCAGAGACTCATAGACCTTCTTAACAAACTTTGGTGATTTTCTGAGCTTTTATTTGACCATAAAGTTTAGCTGGTATTTTATATTTCTGGCATTTTATATTTCTGAAACTGAAGTTTGATAAATTGCATCTTCTGCATAAGATCTAGCTTTAGAGATTTAGAAGCATTCACACACTGGAGCTAGTATTGTTGGGGTTAAAAGGAATGATTCAATTCAGCAACCTTGCTTTCTTTCTACTCAGATGAAATTAAATTTTTTCCAATTCCCTCAGCAAATGACTCAGATAGATTAGCAACCTCTCTTCTTAGTAATTGAAGGGTTTTCATTAAGTTATTGAAGAATTTTAGATCCTTCAGTCATAACAGTAAAAGAAAAAGGGTCTCTAGAAAAATGGGCTTTTCTTCTCAGCAACAGGCATTTCTTTGTAGATACTCAGGTCAAAGCTGAAGGGATGTTCCCTTCCCACCATGGAAATGGCTTTTAAAACCAGAAACTCCTTTGAACCTTTGTTCTTCCCTTGTCACAGCTAAGCATTACCTAGCTCTCCTAGTTAGTTGCATCATTCCATCTTCATTGCTTCTCTTTGCAGTGACTTCATTCATGTCTGTTGTTTTATAACAAAACAAAAGTAAAATAAAAGGAAAATATCTGAAATCATTTTGAGAGATTTAAAAGGAATGTTCTTCCTTTTTATTTCCCCACTGCTCCCAGTAGAGAAATCCTAGTGCACTATTGTTCTCTTCCAGATAACAATATCTTACATTTTATATCACTTGGCAATTGACTTAATGCTTCACAGACACTCTCTTGAAGTACACATTGCTGAAGGGGGGCAGTGGGAAGATCAAAGCCCCCTGGCAGGGGAGTGAAGTATTTACTGCCACTAAAGGTGTTTTTCTATGCTATGCCCTTTCCTGCCAGGCAGCAAGGTGGGCTGACTGGGGATTATGTCTCCCTGCCAGGCTACACAGAAACTAAGCAAAGGGTAAGACAAGATCACCCACCTTTTACTCCCCTCCCATCCTCAGCTACCTCTACTCCCCCAACTGATTCCCCTTCCTGCTGCTTTTGACATTCTTAAAGTTCCCAAGTTCCACTGTTGTGTTCAGAAATTCTGGCCTTTATTTCTTAACTTTATTTCTGTAGATTCTGCCAAGGTCCCTCAGCTCCCTTGGTCCTCTTCTTTCCTTTGCTTCTTTTATTACCCTTCACTGTCCATCCCAGCCCTTTCCCTCTTATTTCACTTCTTATTTCCTTCGATTAAAAAATTTTAATTTTCTCATCCAAAAAATAATTACTAAACAAAAAAAATCATTTTTACCCAAGTAGTAATGTTTGTATATTCCTTAAGTTGTTATCTTTAGATCCCTTAAAAGCACCTGGCAGGCTTCTGGTAAATAGTAACTCTCTTCCTCTTCCTCCCCTGTACCTGTGAGGACATATGAAGCCTCACTTATCTAGCTTGAATATCCCTTATCTGAAATGCTTGGAACCAGAGGTATTTCCAATTTTAGAACTTTTCTGATTTTAGAACATTTATGTAGACTTTTTAAATTGATCATCCCTAATCCAAAATTTGAAGTAGGAAAATTTTTTAGCATAATACCAGCACTCAAAGAAAGTTTTCAATTTCAGAAATCAGATTTTTGGATTAGGAACACTTAACCTGTATATTGTTGAGTTGCTTCTGTTTGCCAAAGCATGTAATAGGAAAAGTTAGCAAGATAGTCTCAATATAGATAGTCTCAAGGGCTGTGTTAGTGAAGGAGAAAATGCTTTTTAAAAACTTTCTCCTATACAAAATTTTTTACTTTGATTCTAGCTAAAAATCTAAGTCTGAAAAAACAAGACAGTTGAGGAAGTAGGGGGATGTTCAGCTTTGAGGAGAACTCAAAGAATATGAACGCTTTCTTTAGGTACTTAGAGGATTGTTAGAAGTTTGAGTCAATTTATGTCTCCCAAGGTTAACATGGAGTTATGTTTAGATGTAGTAGGTTGATGACTTTTCTTGTGAGAACAGTCCGAAAACAGAAAGTGCTTCAGTAGTAAGTATATGAAGAGACCAGTAGATCATCTAGTAGAGTGAAGCAAGAGAATGTAAACCTATGTCTGCAGGCTGTGCTGGTTGACCTTTAAAGCCTACTCTAATGTTACTCTAATTTGGACAGCCCACTAACTTCTTTAAATTATGAATTCAGTTTACCACCATCTTTAGTAGTTGGAGAATACTTTAAATTTTTCTTGTAACTTAACCACATAATGTCATAGATACGGTGGAATAAGTAACATCTGTCCTGATTCCAAACTTCAGAAATGCTGTATCAGCAGTTGTTCTGAAATTATAATTTTATAGTATTTTTCTTTTAATCTTATTGTACAGAGTTACCTTCAACCTTCAAGTATAATTTTCCATGTTAAATAAAAGTATTCTAGCCATAATTGATCTAATGATATTTTGTAATGTACTTGCTTATTGCTAAAGGGTTGATGCTTATAGATCCCTTCCCCCAACCCCCAATCTTTTTGAGGCAGGGTCTCCTTGTAGCCTCAGCTGGAACTCAGTATGTAGACCAGGCAGACTGGCTTTGATCTCGTAGAACCACCTGCCTCTGCTTCCCAAGTGCTGGGATTAAAGGCCTGTGCCACAACACCTGGCTAGATCTTATTTTTCCATAATTCTTTGAGAAGGTGTCAATTTGGATATAAGCTTCAGTTTTGATCATTGTCATTTTACAGGCTCATTTTAGCAGAAATACTATGGCTAATCTCAGAAGTAGCTGAACCTTTTTTTTTTTTTTTTTTTTTGAGAGAGGCAGAGTTTCCCTGTAGCCCTAGCTGGCCTGGAACTCGCTTTGTAGACCAGGCTGGCCTTGAACTCACAGAGGTCCACCTGCCTCTGCCTCCCGAGTGCTGGGATTAAAGGTGTGCGCCACCACGCCCACCGCTGAACTTTAATATATACCTTATTTCTGTGATTCTAAGATATCAGAGATTCCAGCCTATATTGTAGATTTAGCAAGTTGTAGAGATGAAAACCAGAAAATTTGGGGGCTGGATTGAAGTTCAGTTAGTAGAATGCTTGCTTAACATGTATGAGGCATACCCTGGGTTGCATCCCCAACACCCTTCAAGCCAGGAGTAGTGGCACATACTTGTGATCCCAGCACTCGTGAAGTGGAGGCAGGAGGACCAGAAATTCAAGATCATCCTTGGCTACATAGTGAGTTTGAGCCCAGCCATTGCTACATGAGACCGTGCCCCATAAAAAAGAAAGAACTTCATTTTACTTTTAGCAACCATTTCTTAGACTCAGTCAGAGGTTAAATGTTAAGGGTTTTTTTTTTTAACCAGTTATGTGTAACTTCACCATAGCACACTGATTATCATTATCCTTTATTTAGCACTGGGGGTACTAGAATTGAACCTAGACCTTACACATCTAGGCAAATGCACTGACACTGTGCTATATCCCCAGCCCTTGAGGCATACTGAAGTATGTAGAATTCTGTTTCTTCACCCTTTTTCATAAAACTCAAAACTGCTTTTTTCTTTGAGTGATGAACAGTATAAATTCAATAGCTTCTTTTGAATTAAGGTGCAGTTTAATGTTTTTGATAACATTTAAAAAACAAACTAGTGATCCAAATTTAAGTCTAAAGGCCACCCGTGTTTGATACTACCAATACCACGTAATAGCTCAACTCAAATGACAAGTAGATGAACAAATGCCTTTTCTATATAGGTAAGTTTGCACATATAAAGATATGGACAGTTATCAAAGCTTACACTTGGTACTCAGGGGCTGGTAGGTGTCTTTTGACCTAATTGCAAGAAGTGTCAATTTGAGAAATGTTAAAATTTATAAAAATCTGTCTTAGAATCCAGGAAATACAGTATTTGTTCATTCATTTGACTAATCTCTTTGACGCAAGGAAAATAATGTTGTTTGGCAGTGGCCTACTCACATTTACCTATCAATAGTAATGTGCTTTTCTGCAAAAGACGTGAAACTACTTTTCTTCCCACAGGAGTCTTCATTTTGCAGAAAGATTCAATAAAATAAGAATGCTTTAAAACAAACAAAAATTCGGCCCTTTAAATAAATACTAAGGCTTTAATTGACTTTTTGGCTAATAATGATCAGTTGATTAAAAGCATTTAATTTGATACTCGTAATTTTATTATAAAATTTTATAATTTCAAAGATGCTATTTATTTATTGTTTATTTTTATTTATTTTAAGTTTCTACAATTTTATTAGAATTTTAAAGAAAAAGAAATCCTCAGGGCAGATGAACTGGTAATCTTGGCAGCTGCCTGGAGGAGGTGAATGGTAGGAAGAAAGAAAGAAAGCCATGAGGCCATGCAGGTTTGGAGCCTGCCTCGGGGGCCAGACACATGGCTGACTGGCAGCCACATGGCTGAGAGAAGGAAGCTTTAGAGAAAGTAAAGAAATACAAGATGCTATTTATTTTTAAAAAGCCAATTCTGTTAAAGAGAATTGCATGCACATCAGATTTCTTTGATCCGTACTACAGAGGTCTGAATTGTCATGTACCAGTTTCAGACATATGTGAAAGTATTTTGAAAAATATAGCCTGCCTGAATAAAATAGCTATAATAATTAATAAAAATAGTAATGGGGTTTGGGAGAGGAAGGGAAGTACTAGGAGTTAAACCCAGGGCCTCACACATGCTAAGCACATTCTCTACCTCTGAGCTGTACCCCAACCCCTTATTAATAAAAAGAGAATTACTTCTTATGAAATTATCTTAAATAGGAACTATAAAGAGATAATTTAATATTGAAATTACTGTCAGTATCTTGATCAGATCATTGATATCTTAATCATATAACTAAGGCTATATTCTTAGTCCATTTTACTTGCTAGCTGGTTCAGTATTAAGCTTTGCCATCAGTTTGTTGAGATAAAATGTCTTTAGCACCTGTGCTACTTAATCTGTCCTCTGAAGTTGCTAATTTCTTGTTGTCTGTTTTTTGCTGATGTCCCCTTATACATTTACTGTCACTTCACATCCACTCCTGTTTGCAGTTCTTTGCCTTAGGAAATTGCATGCAGAATAAGTTGAAGACCAAGTTATGAATGCATGGAGATAAGCTATAAATAAGTAGTATGAAGAGGAAAATAATAAATATGTAACAATGAAATCTAATTGACTTGGAGATTTTTTTATAGCTAATAAAATGACTGCCATTTACTTCTAAATTTAATTAATGTAACTTCTTTTTAATTCTAGTCTTCCCAGCTTAATAATCCCCAGTTTGTATGGGTGGTTCCAGCTTTGCGTCAGCTCCATGAAATCACCCGCTCATTCATAAAACAAACCTATCAAAAACAAGACAAGGTAGGAGCATCCTTATTTTGATTAATAGTTACTTGTATAACCTTTTATAATTGAAAAGCATGGCTAAGGTCATTGAGCTTTTAATCACTATCTTAACAGGTTTATGGTTAATAATGTCATTGAAGCCCATCATTTGGTACACTTGAATTTAAATACCGCTCTGCTTTCATGTCTGTGGAGGTTTTTCTTTCGATACATCCCTAGTTCCTTTCTTGTATGTTGCTTTGTTGAGAATAAGTCAGCTTTTAAAAATTAGAATCTTATCTCCAAAACTTGAAGAGAGTCAAAACTGTTGTCTAAGGAGCTAGAGCTTCCTCAACGTAATAGATTTGGACAGTAAGGCCTAGAAAAGTATATAAAAAGTAAAATAAGTCTTTTCTTTTCAAAGATTGTTTTTATCTTTTTTTTAAAGATATCTCTTTTAGATGCAAAATATTAGCAGCTTTTTAGTCCCCTAGTGTCTTTATCTGATTTCTCTTTGCTGCTTAATACTCTGACCAAAAACAACTTGAAGAAGGAAGGGCTTATTGCATCTTGCTCTTCCAAGTGACAGTCCATCACTGAGGGAAGCCAAGACAGGAACTTAAGCAAAGCAGAAACCTGGAGGCAAGAACTGTAACACAAACGGTGGAGGAACACTGCTTATTGGCTTGCTCCCCTGGCTTGTGCTCAGCCTGCTTTCTTATACAACCCAGGATCACTTACCTAGGGGGTGACCACCTGCAGTGGACTTAACCCTCCCATGTCATTTAACAACCAAGAAAATGCCTCACAAACATGCTTACAGGCCAATCTGATAAGGGTGATTCCCCAATTGAGGTTCCTTCTGCCACCACCACCCCCGTATGCAAAGTTGACAGCTATAACTCTCCAGCTCACCTAGTAAATATGCATACCAAATTGATTTTATTAACCATTAAAGTAGGACATATGAATGAGAAAATGCTAATGTTTGCTTTTTGACCTAGGACTACTTTCTAAAATAAAAACTGTATTAAACCAGCAAAACAACTGCAAATTCTCATCCCACTTTCTTTTTTTCTGTTAAGAGCATTATTCAAGACCTGAAGAAAAATTTTGAAATAGTCAAGTTGGTAACGGGAAGTTTAATAGCTTGTCATCGTCTTGCAGCAACTGTGGCTGGGCCTGGAGGCTTAACTGGTTTGACACTAGTAGATGGCCGATACACTTACCGGGAGGTATCAGGCACTGTTGTTTTTGTTTTGTGATTTTCAGCTTTCATTTGACCCTTTTCTATTTGAACTATAAAATAAGTATTTATTGGATGTAACTAGAAAAAGGTACTGTAAACTGTCTTTTTAATGAGGGAGCAATTTTGAATCTTAGCCATAATTTCAATTTGAAGTTTAGAAAAATAGTATTTGTGAGTTAATCTTTTATCAAATTACCTAAGAATTGCATATGATAAAGTAAAAAAATAAAATCTTTTAGTCATGTGTTCAGGCATATACCTTTAATCCCAGTACGCAGGAGGCAGAAGCAGGCAGATCTCTGAGATTGAGGCCAGTCTGGTCTACATAGCGAGTTCCAGGCTAGCTGTGACTACAGGGAGACTCTGTCTCAAAAAAACAAGGGGGACACCTTCTAAAAAAAAAAAAAAAAAAAAAGAAGAAGAAGAAATAAAATTTTCCTTTGATTTGAAGTAGTAATTGCTAGACTGAGCATGAACTCCAGACTGGCCTACAGAGTGATCCCTGTCTCAAAAAAAAATAAAAATCTTAACTCACCAATAGTGAGTTTGATATTTGCCTTTGAGATTACTAAGATTAAATTTTATTGACACCTAAAGTCAGTTGACTTTGGAATGGCTTTGAGGTGGCTTCTTTTACATTGTGCTATCAGTAGGCAAGCCCCTTCTAAAATTTACTCTATCCTAGATTATATGAAAAGTGTCCAGTATAATCTGTCTTGTTTTGTTTTTGTGTCCCTTTAGGTATGAATGCCTAAGATGAGTTAACTGGTTTGCATTTTTGCTTTTTTTTTCAGTATTTAGAGGCACATCTGAAATTTCTGGCATTTTTCTTACAAGAGGCTACACTGTATCTAGGTTGGAACAGAGCCAAGGAAATCTGGGAGTGCCTTGTGACTGGCCAGGATGTTTGTGAATTGGATCGAGAGGTAAGGATACAGGATTTGTAAGTAGGTAAGGCAGGAGTGTTGAGATGCTGCACTCTTTTATGTGTCTTATATTTTTGTCTTTTGCATCCTCCATTTCCAAATATTTTTCTGTTTCATGAGCATGAATGGTATAAAATATGAAGAGCTTAATCACCACTGGAAACTCTGAGTTCCTTAAGATGATGGTGTACCCAAAATGAAAAGAATTAGTCAAGAACAAATTAAAGCCCGGTTCAATAGAATTATTTTGACATTTACTAACAGTGAGTTAATCTTGGTTTGCTCATTTCATTTTACAGAATAATATTAACTACGTCATAGGATTGTTGAAAGGACTGAGTTTGTAACAGTGCCTAGCACTGTGCCTGGCACACAGCAAGGCTTTAATTAAATGCTTGTGGGAAAACTTAAAAATATAAAATTCAGTGAAAACTATGAGTTAATGTTTTGATTACCAGAAGAAAGATCTAGTAATTGCTTCAATTAGCTTCAGAGCTCAAAGCATTTCACTTTAGAGTCACATTTGGACAATTTAAAATTTTTTACAAATACTAAGAATACTATCTTTTTACTTTTCCTGTGTGTATTGGTTTTTGTCTGCAGTAGATTTGGTTGATATTAGGACAATGTCTCTCTTAATCCACAGATGTGTTTTGAGTGGTTCACAAAAGGGCAGCACGACCTGGAAAGTGACGTGCAGCAGCAGCTCTTCAAAGAGAAGATTCTAAAATTGGAGTCCTATGAAATCACTATGAATGGTAGGGAAAAAACTTATGTTTATTTGTTTTAATTTTTTTTTTTTTTTTTTTTTTTTTTTTTTTTTTTTTTTTGAGACAGGGTCTCCCTGTAGCCCCAGCTGGCCTGGAACACACAGAGATCCACCTGCCTCTGCCTCCAGAGTGCTGAGTTTAAAGGCATGCACTAGCACGCCTAGCCTATGAAACCACATCTTAAGAAAGCATTGCCACGAGCTTTGCTGCTCTTCTCTGCTCCACCTTGAGTCTTCTCATTGAGTGTCTGTGTTAGAGTGCATGAATTGATCTGGCATTCTGTAATTTCAGGGTTTAACTTATTCAAGACCTTTTTTGAAAATGTGAATCTCTGTGATCATCGATTAAAAAGACAAGGAGCTCAATTGGTAAGTATATTACTCACAATCTAGATAATTTGGATTATTTAATATAACCTGATATTCAGGAAAAAAATCCTGTCTTCTAATTGAGAGAAAACAGAAAACATGTTGTTTGTTTAAATGAGGCGGTCGCTGCCTGCCAATGTGTATGTTGTTGAGAGGCTTTTTGACTGCACTATGGCTACATGTCTAACACTACTTCCCCTCACCAGCTAGCTGCCTAGGGTCACACTCACCTCTCATGTCTCTCTCTCTTTCTCTGGCTTCTTGCTCATCTAGAGCAGCTCTGCTACCTGTGATTATGAAGTGATTATCTAGCCAAATAGTTCTAGTAGGCTTCCAAGTAGCAATTCACATACATTTTAAAAAGTAACAGTGTCTTCAGTCCTAGGATGTCAGTGGCAGGGATTGCATGGGAAAATGTAGCAACAGACTAAAGCAGGAAAATGGAAATCCACACAAACTTGCATAGTTTATGCTTAGAATTATAGTATCCTGAAAAACAAATGCAAGTACTGATCTTTTCTAAATCCCTTTCATTTAGTTCTTGGCTTCCTGGGATGGTCAGAATATTTATAAGATACTATAAGCTCTGGTGTCCTGTTATTTCTTATTGAGCTTTGGAAAAGACTAGATTGAGCCCTAAGAATTAGTAACAATTTCTTGACTCTTCTTTTGAAGAAAATTCCACAAAGATGGCACCCGTATCACCTTTTCAGTTTCTGAGTGACTACCATGTATGAGCAGATGCCTTCTTTGAGTCAGGACTCTGGAGAAATAGCTCCACACCTACCCTGGTGGCCATAGAGGGTACTTGGTGTCTCTGTGGTTGTTGTTTTTCATTTATCATTTTGGTACAGTAGTCTCCTTGGATAAAACAGTCTCCATTAGTGTTAGACAAAAGAGATGCAGACTCAATGATGTAACAGAAAATAGTTATCTGTGACTTTCTAATACTAGTATACTATGCAATTTAATTTACAGAATTTAATTTTATTTCTCTTTTACACAGTATGTAGAAAAGCTGGAATTGATAGGAATGGATTTCATTTGGAAAATAGCCATGGAATCACCAGATGAAGAGATTGCTAATGAAGCTATTCAATTAATCATTAACTATAGTTACATTAATCTAAATCCTAGGTTAAAAAAGGTGAGTATCTAAGGAATGAAGTTACTCAGACACAAAAATATTAAAAAGTTACATATTTGTTATTGGTAAGTTGTGATACCCCCAATTTGACTTATTTATTTTGGTATTTTGTCCTTAATAATGATTACAACTAAATGCCAAAGTCTTAATTTTAATTTCCATATCCTTCCTACTTTCAGGATTCAGTGTCTTTACATAAGAAATTCATTGCTGATTGCTACACAAGACTAGAAGTGAGTAACAAAGTTTATTGACTTGGTCTCTTTAATGGGGAATTTATCAAAAGTACCATGTCATAGCATTGAAAACAGGCATTTGCAATGATGCTCCCATTATAGAAATATACTCTGTAGAGAAAGATAGCTTAGTGGGCAAACTGCTTGCTGCACAAGCATGAGGACCCAAGTTCAAATCTCCAGCACCCACATAAAAACCAGGTATTGTTGGTGGGCATCTGTAGCCTCAATATCAGAGGGGCAGAGCAGGCAGATCCCAGGGGTTCGCTGGCCAACCAGTCTAGCCAAAAAGACTAAGCTTCGAGTTCAATAAAGAGACCCTGTCTCAAAATACAAGGTGGTGAAGGATAGAGGAAGATACCCAACATTAACCTCTGGTTTTTATATGTGTGCACTCACATATGCACACATGAACTTGAATGTACACACAAGAAATACATTCTATAGAAAACTTTTCATTTTCCGTCCCAATTCTTTCCTTTCCCCATTTATCCATCTTCTTAGCTATAAGGAACTCTGTTCAGAAAACAGGTTTGCTATACTTATACATTCCTCACTGGTAGTTGAGTGTCCCTATTTCACAGTTTATATTAGAAATGCTATTAAAGACTACAGTAAGACACTCAGGAGTAAATGATATTGGTTGTTTTTGTCCATTAGAAGCCTATGGTTTAATATATTTGGCAGTCTGATTATTAAAGAATTAAACATTGATTTTTCAGCTGAAATTTCTGCTTAAGTTTTATATCTAATAGGGTATTATAAACATAAAATGCCACTGTCCCCAAATGTCAATATTTCCCAAATTGTGACTTCTGTCTACAATATGTCATCATGAAAAACATTTCAAATATATTTGAAGTACCATAGATCTCAACTAGCTCTTCTTAAAATTTTTATTTTATTTTTGTTAGTATGAGAGAGAGAGAGAGAGATTTGGTGGTATACATGTGCCATGGTACATGAGTGGAGGTCTCTCCTTCTATCTTTACATGAGTTCCAAGGATTCAAATCAGGTCATCGAACGTTCACAGCCAGTGCTTTACCTGCTGAACTATCTCTCCAGCCATCCCCTAGCTCTTACCTTGTTTCCCAGGGTTCATTTCATATCATCTAAAAACTAGGAGGAACGCTATTATCATCTAGTGGTTAGAGGTTAGTGATCTTGCAATGATCTTGCAATTGCTCTTTCAACGCCCAGGACAGCAGCCTTCTGTGACAGAAAGTTAGCCCCAAATGTCAGAGGCCAGATTGGGAAACCTTGTCACAGAATGATTATTTCATACTTTATAGGCAGCCAGTTCAGCACTTGGTGGCCCCACTCTAACACATGCTGTGACCCGAGCAACAAAAATGCTCACTGCAACTGCCATGCCAACTGTAGCAACATCAGTTCAGTCTCCATATAGGTAAGTGGTTCTAAAACTGGAAACAAATATACTACTCATAAATGTATGTTCTTTGAAATATGTATATAAAATATATGGTATTTTTTCTTAATTAACATTTCTTTATAGGTTTCCTCATTTTATTCATAACTTCTGTAAGCAGTTACATCTTGGAGAATTATATATTCCCTAACATATACCAGCATATCAGTGTCTTGAAGACATGTAGGTCATTACCAAAACCACCCAAGTATTGCTTGTTCCTACCCATCTCCCTTATACACACATTTTTTGTTGTTTTTACTTTATTTTCTACTACTTTTATTCTGTATGACTTGAGTAACTACTCTTTTTTTAATACATATTTTAATCGAATTTTTGTATATTTTATACAATGTATCTAAATCATCTTTAGCCCCCCTCCTCTGTCTGCATCCCCCAATCCTCCTCCCCCCACCACCAGATTTTATGCATTCTGTTACATATGTTAAGGCCTATCAAGTCAATTTTGTGCCCCCAGATTTCCCTTGGTGTGAGTTCATCCACTGGAGCCTGGTCAGCCTATCTGATAGCGTCATTCCCTTAAAGAAAACCAACTCTCCTTCACCTAGCAGTGATCAGCTGCAAATAGTTCCTTGGCTAAGGTCGGGGCCTCCTGCCCATTTCCCCAGTTCTATCCTGGTTTTTGTCTGGTTTGAGTTTGCATGGGTCTTGTACATGCTGTCACCATTGCTGTAAGTTCATAAGAGTAAGTTTCAGGGGCCTGGAAGACTCCTCCCTGTGTTCATGCACCACCCTTGGCTCTTATAATTCTTTCTGCCCCCAAGTAGCTACTCTTTAGGATTGAATAAAATATATTCATTGTATAAAGAGCTTTTTTTTGAGTTTGAAATATTTACTCAGATAAAACTTTTCTCTTTGAATAGTCAAACCTAGAGAATTAATTGGGTAAATAAAAGGAAATGGAAGATAGTGATTAAAATTGTGCACTATAATACAATCACAACCAGCTAAAATATTCACCTAACGTTACTTTTTGAAATAATTTTTGGTGAGATTGTCAGTATTTACGTGAAAACTTTGAATTAACCTCTTCATTCACATTGCTGTGTTTTAAGTATTACTAGAATCTGAATTAGTGTTTTTGGGAGTTCTTTAAAACAGTAACTTGAAGTAACTAGAATACTTCCATGGGGTTTAATTGGTTACTCATAAGCAGCCCCAAATCATAAAAGCTTAGGAAACCTTGGTAGGTACTGGGAGAAGGGCTTGCTTGCTGCAGTGCTCTGCTGCTGCCCTCTACTGATAGGTGCTTGTACAGTCCTTTTCTCTGCCTAGAATAGTTTGTGTATCTTCGTTTGCCGTTGGGATATTACTTTTTTTCCCCTGAAAACCTTCCTTAAGAAAATGAATCAAAATTGTATCCTTTAACATATTCTTCCTTTTCAATCTTTTTTTTTTGCAGGGGGCTGTCTTTTTTGAGACAGGGTCTCCCTGTAGCCCCAGCTGGCCTGGAACTCTCTATGTAGACCAGGCTGGCCTCAAACTCACAAGACTCCCCACAATCAGCTCAGTCACCTGCTCTATGGGGCATCTCACCTGCCTGAGCAGGAGCCATTTTGGTATGTGCTGTGGTGGGAATTGTTTTTTTGTCTTTCTGAAACAGGGTCTCCCTGTGGCCCCAGCTGGCCTGGAACTCACTTTGTAGACCAGGCTGGACTTGAACTCACAGAATTCCTCCTGCCTCTGCCTCCCAAGTGCTGGGATTAAAGGTGTGCACCACCACACCCGGCCCCTTTTCAATCTTTAAAAACATTATTCTGTGTGTATAAGTGTGTGTTCCCTACATGTACTTAAGTGCACCTGTATTGTGCAGTGCTTGCAGAAGACAGAAGGAGCGTTAGATCCCCTGGAACTGGAGTTACAAGTGGTTGTTAGCTGCTCTGTGGGTGCTGGGAACTGAACCCTGGTCCTCTGCAAGAGCAGTCAGTGTTTTTAGGTACTGAGCCATCTCTCCAGCCCCTGCAATAAGAATTCTTGTTAGATGTTTCTAAGATGTAGTCCATATCTATTACTCAGTTCCTTAGCAATTAAACTATCAAACAAGTCATTTATGACCTATTGAATTGGGATTTTGAAACTACTACTTTAAATGAGTATATGCCCTATACCAAGTGCTTTTTATTCTGACTCTTTCCTGTATAGCTAGCTAAAGAGAAAAAAACACATAATTTTAAAGTATTCTTATTAAGTAGAATCAAATGTATTTCAAAATTAAATTTGGACCAAGGACACCATAATTTATCTTATTTCACTAGTTTTGAAAGAACTTTTTAGGATCCATAATTGTTCTGTCTGTAATTCAGTTAATTATTAAGATGTAATTAAAGCAGTTTACTCAATTTACTCATTTATTATAGCATTAAGATATTTTTTCATTTGCATTTCAAGTGCTAGTTCTTGCCTATAGGATTTAGACTGCAGCTGAACATATTTGATGTGTTTAAACAACTGTTAGAAAAGTAAAATTTCTAGTACTGCTAATCAACATAACAGTACAATTGTTAGAAAATGACAGTACCCCCTTTCAGTTTTAAAAATAAACTTATTTTAAATGTCTACACTTTCTGGGATAATAGCTGTTTAAATTAAGGGCACTTGGAGTTTTATTTCTTAGAACATGAAGCTATTTCAATATAAATGGTTGAATGTTGCAGAACTGTTATTTTGGATGATAAAGAGTCCATAAGTCTTCAACAAAAGTGACATCAGATTTCATTTTCAGATAGCAGCTATTTATGGTATACTTACTGGTTTGCATTTGTCTTCTGATTTTCAAGCAACTCAGAACTTTGCCATATTCCATATGTTTACAGAATTTTGTAGCCTGTTTTATTTGTAAGATTGTGAGAGTAAGTTCTCTGATTGTTCATTCTTGGTGGATTGATGGACATTTAGGCCTAGAGACCCAGGTCCTCTATTTATGGAGCAACTCTTTAAAAGAGAAAAAGAAGAAAGAAAAAGGAAGGGACAGACTTCTCTCTTATTCCATCTGAGCACTACAGCTGTGAGCAGGTTGCACCACTCCTCATTGAAAGGGAATTTTAATCTTGGCAAATTTCAGTTTTGACCAGTGTATGCTGATTGTGATTGTGATTGAGCGTAAATCAGCAATTCATTTCAAAATTTGTAAAGTTTTTTTTTTTTTTTAATTCATACCCATAGATCAACAAAACTTGTGATAATTGAGAGATTGCTTCTTCTGGCAGAACGCTATGTGATCACGATAGAGGTATGCCTTCTCTCTGTAGAGCAGCTTCATTCGTATTGCTAGACTGGGTATCAAAGCATGTGTTCTGACATTCTCAGTTGGGGCACAGTGCATCTGACTTGGTTGGCTTATCTTTTTCAAGGATTTTTACTCTGTTCCACGAACTATTCTACCTCATGGTGCCTCATTTCATGGACATCTTTTAACTCTTAATGTTACCTATGAGTCTACCAAAGATACCTTCACTGTAGAGGTAAGTTTTGTTTACATTAAACTCCTTGTTTTTTTTCCATAAGAATAATGTTGATAGATGGAATTGAAGAGATGGCTCAGTGGTTAAAAGCACTGGCTGTGGGGGCTGGAGAAGATGGCTCAGTGATTAAGAACACTGGCTGTTCTTGCAGAAGACTCAGGTTCGAATCCCAGCAACCACATGGCAACTAACAACTGTCCATAATTCCAGTTCCAAGGGATCCAACAGCCTCTTCTATCCTCCATGGGCATTGCACAACACGGGTACACTTACATACGTGCAGGCAATACACACATACACATAAATAATAATAATAATAATAATAATAATAATAAAAATATTTTTTTAAAAAAGCACTGCCTGTTCTTGCAGAAGACCCATATAGCAGCTAATAACCATCTGTAACTCCAGTTCCAGAGAATCCCAACACCCTCTTCTGGTCTCCATGGGCATTGCATGCATGTGGTGCACTTATATGCAGGAAAAACACTCATACACATTAAAAAATGAATAAATAAAGAATAATGTTGATAGAGATATTGAAAATAAAGAACCAAGGTGTTGAGAGATGGCTCAATTTGGTAAAGTGCTTAGCACACAAGCATGAGGACCTGAGTTTGAGTCCATAGCAAGTGTAGTGTGCACCTGTAATGCTACAGCTCTGAGGTGGAGACAGGAGGATCCCTGGAGCTGGCTAGCCAGCTGGTCTTGCCAAATTGATGAGTTCCAAGTTCAGTGAGAGTCTCTATAAATAAATAAACAAATAAAGGTGGAGAGAGACAGAAGGCATAACATCAGCCTGTGGCCTTCAGGTACATAAACACATGAACTGTACACAGACAGCACACACATACATAAAATAAAAGTAGACCTAAAAGGAAACCATGAGGTACAAGCAGATAGATCAGTAAATATAAATTGTACCGCTAGGTGATGATAAGTGTTATAAGGAGTAAGACTAAAGCAGAATAAGTTAGTAGAGGGTGATGGCGCTAAATGGGATATTTGGGGTAAAGATGGATCTCTGAGGTAGTGACATTTGAGCAAAGACTTGAATAAACAACAATAAATGATGTTTACTTAGCACAGTATTTCAGACAAAGGGGTGGCAGATACAAAGACTCACAAGGTGGCTGGTGTTGGTGGTAAATGATGAGAACACGTAAGAATGAGGCACTTCAAGGAACAGCCTGGAGATCTTATCCCATGTATAATGGAGAAGGATGGCGGTGTGACATTGAGCATTTAACAGCAGCAGAAGAACCTCTCAAGAACAGGCGTTCTTGTCATGGCTCTCTACTGTGTTCCTGGCCTCTAGAAAAGGGCCTGGTACACAGCAGATGCTCAGAATTGTTGTTTGAAGAAGTAACTAAATGAGGAGACTGGAGAGATGGCACAGCAGTTAACAGCACTTACGACTCTTGCAGAGGACCCAGTTTCAGTTCCTAGCTCCCATGTAGTGGCTCACAACTGCCTATAACTCCAGTTCGAGGGGATCCGACACCATCTTCTGGCCTCCGCAGGCTCTTGTACACATATGGTGCACATAAACTCGTGTAAGCAAATACACACATACACATTAACTAAATAAATCTTAAAAAAGAAGAAACTGGGTGTGGTGCCACAGGCCTTTAATCCTAGCACTTGGGAGGCAGAGGCAGGCGGATCTCTGTGAGTTCAAGCCCAGCCTGGTCTACATAGTGAGTTCCAGGCCAGCTGGGGCTACAGGGAGACCCTGTCTCAAAAAAGCCCCCCCCCCAAAAAAAAAAGAGTAAATGACTTCTCTTACACCAGTGTTGGATTTTATTTTCCAGGCCCACAGTAATGAAACCATAGGCAGTGTCCGGTGGAAGATAGCCAAGCAGTTGTGCTCTCCTGTGGACAATATACAGATATTTACAAACGATAGTCTGGTGGGTTTAAACAACAGTTGTTGGCACTTTAGCCCGGTGTGAATAGTTTCCTCCTCTTTTCCTCTCAGTAACTAAGAAACCACCTTTTGCAGCTGACCGTGAATAAAGATCAAAAGCTCCTCCACCAGCTGGGCTTTTCTGATGAACAAGTCCTTACAGTGAAGACGTCGGGCAGTGGGACCCCCTCTGGGAGCTCTGCAGATTCCTCAACCAGCTCCAGCAGCAGCAGCAGTGGAGTTTTCAGTTCATCATATGCCATGGAGCAGGTATGGAGGTCAGCTTCAGGGTAGAAACAGTAGTTAACAATCACTCTTTCTGCCTTTGGCCCACAGAGATTTGGATGGCCACATCCCTTTCTATCAGGCAAGTTCTGACTAAAGAGAACTATGTCATTGAGAACTTAGGGGATTCAGACAGATTTGTAACTTGCCAGCCTGCTGAGTCTCAGAACCTCCTAAAGATAGTTCTGTCTGGCCTCTCCCTGTTCTCTTACATCTCTCTCCATTAACTCATTGATTTTTTTTTCTTTCTTTCTGTACTGGATCATTCATTGAGGTTCACATGTACTTTGCTATTCTACCATCTTTAAAAAAACTTCAGAGGCTAGGGAGATAGATCAGTGAATAAATGCTTGTAATCCCATTGCTTGAGAGGCAGGAACAGACAGATGCCAGGGGCTCACTGGACAGCCAGCCTATCATAACCAGCAAGCCCCAGGCCAATAAGAGACTCAGTCTCAGAAAAAAAAAAAAACACAAGGTGGATGGTTCCTGAAGTTGATGTCTGACCTACTCATGTGAACATTTCCCTACACACACGTGCAATTGCACATATGCTTTTTTTAAGCCCTGATTACACCAGTTTCACCATCGTTACTGGCCTGTTTTCTCCTTCCTAAATCAGCAAAATTCCTTAAAAGAGTTGTCTAAACTCATTCCAGCTTTCCTTTTGTCATCCTTTCTTGCCTCTTTAATTCTCACGTTCACATGTCTCTTCCACCTCTTAGTCATCATCCTCATCATTTTGTTTCAGGAGACTTAATGCCTGTGGCTGCTTTCTCTTGAAATATTCTCAGTACTCTCCTGATTTCCCTGCACTGTACTGTTCTTTGCTCTGCTTTTTAAGTTCCTCTTTATCTCCCAGATCTCTATAGAAAGATGTTTTCCAGCCCAGTGCTCGATCCTCTCTTTTCTCTGTTTATTCCCATAGCTTCACAAATTGCATATATCCAAACTCCCTGGAGTCCAGAGTCATGATCCATCTACTAACTTAGTCTCTGTTCACTGACCACACTAGGCACCCCATAGTAATATACTCGAAGCTGAGCTTCTAATCGTCCCTTTTTTAACACCTTATCCCCACCCCCAAAGCTCTTCGTTTCTCAGTCTTGGTCTATTTCAGGCGATAGCAAGCATCTCCATTCTTCTAAGTTGCTCATAATAGAGTTCTTAAATCCTTCCTTTCTCTCTCACCTGTATCTACCTGCAACTTTTAAAAAAATTTTTTTTTTTTTTGTTCTTTTTTTGTTTTTTTGAGACAGGGTCTCCTTGTAGCCCCAGCTGTCCTAGAACTCACTATGTAGACCAGGCTGGCCTCGAACTCACAAAGATCCACCTGCTTCTGCCTCCCAAGTGCTGGGATTAAAGGCCGTGCACCACCACGCCTGGCATTTCATGTGTATGAGTGTAAGTGTACCCATGTCTTGCAGTGCATGCAGAGGTCAGAAGAGGGCATCAGATTCCCCTGGAACTGGAGTTATGACCTTGTTAACCACCATGTGGGTGCTGAGAATTGAACCCAGGTCCTCTACAAGAACAGCCAGGGCTCTTAACCCACTGAGCCATCTCTCCAGCCCCCTACCTGTAATTCTTTGACTCTACCTTCAAAATTTATCTAAAATTCAGCTACTTTTCTGCCTACACAGCTTCCATACTGTTCTGGGCAAACATTATCCCTCACTTGAGTGCCCCACCCCCACCCCATCTCATGTGGTTTTTGAGACAGGGTCTCCCTGTAGCCTCCACTGGGTGGAACTTACAGAGATCCACCTGCCTCTGCCTCCCAAGAACTGGAATTAAAGGCATGCACCACCATGCCTGGCCTGAGTGTTCTCATTATGTCCTCCGTGGTCTCCGCTTCGGTCCCAAAGTTATAGTGTGCCATCCCTCAGCTTACTCTAGTAGCTACTGTCTCACTCAGAGGAAGAATCAGGGTCTTTCCTGCAGCCTTCAGGATGTACCTGATAGGGGCCCCTGGAGCATCTCTGCAGCTCTCTGCTATGACCTTCCCCTCACACCTTTCTAGCTATACTGCTTCCCTTTAAGTCCTTAAACATGGTGAGGCCTATGCACTTGTACGTCCCAAACCTAGAATGTTGTTTGAGGACCTCACTAGGTGTCTCACTCTCGCCTCATCTTTTACTCAAATGCTGCCTACTCAATGAGCCTACCTTGACAGTCTGTCTAAATTGTCAGCCCCATTTGTACTATTCTCATTTCCCTTCTCTGCTTTATTTTCTCATTATTCATCCCAGTAAAATATAAGCTCCACGAGAGCTGACTCATCTGTTTTGTTTGCTGCCACCACCCAGCACCTGAGACAGTGCCTGGAATGGGATGGATGAGTCATTCAGTATTTGAATGACTTTGTGAAACAATCAATCTGTTCATAATTTTTCTGTTATCAAGCCTGAGGATGGCTCAAGGGATATAACAGTGAAGAAGATTGTTCTTCTTAGGCTTCTGCAGTCTAGAGAGCAAGCTCAGGTGAGATGTGTGCTCATCTATGGAGTCCTTTAGTTCCAAATGGAAAGTCTCTGTATGACTCTTTCTAATTCCTTTGCAGTAAATATAAAGGAACTCGTTAGGTTCTTCAAACTATATATTTAACAAGAATTTAAGAATGAAATCTCATTCACAGTGGTATCATGGCAGTTAACAACAAAAATAGTATACATAGTGTCTTCAAACTTAGTAACTTAAAACTATATATATCCTGAATTTATTACAAAATCTTCCATATATAAATACATTCTGCGATGATGTCATTCTTGTGCCTTGTAACCAGATACATATCTGTACTTTAAGCATGTCTGAGTTTCTTTTTGCAGTGATAATCCCTTTGTCTTTGTGATACTTACAAAAACAAAATACTTTTTTTTCAATTTACGTCTACCTTTGGTGTGAGTGATTGTACACATGGATGCTACTTTAATGTTACTCTCAAACACTCATTCCCTGTGGCTCCAGAAAGTGATTGACGAGTGGTGTCTGCTTTCCATTCTACCCATGCAGGCCCTTTGTTTTACTTCACCTCTGCTGCCTGCCTTTTGGGCCTTTCTCCCTTCCCCAGCAGGTGGCCAGGGGAAGAAAGACAGGCAGCATCGCTGGAAAGCTGTGGGCCTTGCTCCGTTCTTCAGTGCCCCTGAAGCTTTGTAGTGCCCGCCTTTCAGAACCAGTGTTTTTATTGTTTGTAAGTTTGATTAGAAAAGGAGAAAATTCTTCTGTAAATCTATACTTATATTTTGCTTTTTCCCCCCTCAGGAGAAGTCTCTGCCTGGTGTAGTAATGGCTCTTGTGTGTAATGTGTTTGATATGCTGTATCAGCTTGCCAACCTAGAGGAGCCAAGGTAAATAAATACAAGTATTTGTAAGGCTCGAGAGCAAGTTATTATTCAGGTTAATGATCCAAGTAAATATTACCTGAAATGCATGTTACTTTATGTCCTGCACTAAATGACATTGTCACTGAAGCTATGGCTTATGTGAAAGAAATGTGTTCTTGAAAAATTTTCAGGATAACTCTACGAGTACGAAAACTTCTGCTCTTAATACCAACTGATCCGGCCATTCAGGAAGCCCTTGATCAGCTTGATTCTTTAGGCAGAAAGGTATGCATATTTTTAATAGTTATAGAACTACCATGGATTCAATGAAAACATTACCTGAATCATAGTTATTTGGTTTAGATATTAATTTGAAAGAGAACGAGTGTAACCATATTACTAGTATGGGCTAAAAAGAAGTTCTCAAGACTACTACTCTTACAATTTTATTGAAAGTACAAATTTTAAACATACAAACATTTAAGTTGCTTTGCTAGTATTTCTAAGAATACATTCAAAAGCATTCATGTAGTATTTGACTGTCATTTAACTCGGCTGTATGTTGAAGTCTGCTGTTTTAGTAATAGAGTTTTAAGTGGTTTTAAGAAGCTGATTTTTTTTAGATATTGAAGAGGAAAAGAACATTAAGCACTGAGATCTATTTCTGTTCAATTTGTGCTGTTAAGAATACATCTCGTTTTCTACTCTTTTAAACTTAGAAAACATTGCTCTCTGAAACAAGTTCTCAGTCTTCAAAGTCTCCATCCCTTTCTTCAAAGCAGCAACATCAGCCAAGCGCCAGTTCAATCTTAGAAAGTCTGTTTCGATCTTTTGCTCCAGGAATGTCAACCTTCAGAGTGCTCTACAACTTGGAAGTAAGAAATATCATTGATTTTTATTTCACTTTGACAGACACATTTTAGTTATAGATTCATGTGTTCAGGTTGCATTATGGGATGATCTGCTAGAAAATTAGTAGGGGAGGGAGGAGGGGATGGCTTTATAAAGGGAAGCTGGACATTAAATGGTGGCACACATCTTTAATCCCAGCACTTGGGGCTGAGGCAGGGGGATCGCTCTGAGCTCAAGGCCAGCCAGGAATGGACTACATAGCAAGTTCCAGGTTAGCTGGGCCTGTGTAGTGAGATTCTACCTCAAAAAATCTAAATAAATAAATAAATGATTAATTGAAATCTTTTTGTCTTTGAAATTCTTAATATCTTTCCTCTATATATTTACAGAATAGCATCTTGGCAAATAATTATGAGATTTTATATATTAAGCGTGTCATTAACCTTCCTGTATAAGCTTTGCAAGTCTATAATAGGAATTATCTTCAGCTTCCTTGGTCAAATACATTGTAATAGTTTTAATTTTTGTAATTTGCTGACATTAACCAAGATTTATAAAGAATTTATCTGGGAGCTGGAAAGATGGCTCAGCGGTTAAGAGCACTGACTGCTTTTGCAGAGGACCCGGATTTGATTCCCAGCAACCATATGGCAGCTGTGTTCTGTCCTTAACTCCAGTTCCAAGGGAGTCCGAAGCCCTCTTCTGATCTCCACAGCATTGCACGACATGGGTGCACTCACATACGTGCAGGCAATACACTCATACACATAAAATAAACATAATAAAATATTCTTTTAAAAAAGAAAGATTTTATCTGGTTACTATTTCATATTTATATAAGAAAGGCATTTATTATTCTTATTATCAATTGCTATTATTATTACCCTAGTCCCTTAAGGATAAAAAATGCCATAGACTAAGGTGGCTTAAACAGCAACCATTTATTGCTCACAGTTGTTGAGACTGAAGAATCCCAGATCAAAACATCATTACTTTGTGCTTTTAGTAGAAAATTAAGCCTTCCTTGAATGGTTTGGCTTTGCCCCTAGAGAGCTCACTCCACATCAGTAACTAAGCAGCTTTGATTGTACCATGGGTCTTCAATAGATAACAGGTATCTTGATTATCATGAGTCATAGCAAACATCATCATCATTGGTAAGAGGATGCCTATATTTTTTCCTGAGGTATACCCCATTTTTTTGTTTGTTTGTTTCACTTCCTGCTTGTATGTTCAAGATGTGGTAGAAATTGCATACTAACTTTAAAGTATTCACTCTTGTAAAGAGATGGATTGATTCAAAAGGAAAATATATTTGGTAAATAATTTTTAATGATGCATACCTTTATATAATGTGGACATTTAGGAATATATACAATACTCCAAAACAGAAAATTGCCTAATGTTTTTGCCAACTTAGCTTATAAAATTCGCATCTTATAATTCCTACCACATTTTTGCTTTGGGGTAGTTATCTCTGAAAAATTAAGATGTAATTTTGTCATCCATTTCTGAGACTATGTGGCAAAAGAAGAACGTTCCAGCAATGGGGTCTTGCTGATCAGCCACCCAACCCAGTCAACAATCAATGTGATTTGCCAATCAAATCACATTGTCTTATACCCAAAACAACTCTTAGTAAAACATCTCCAATGTTATTTTTAAGACTGTAGAATAACTGAATTCCTTTGATATGTCTGTTTTGCCTTAGATACATAAAATATGTAGAAAACCTAACTTTCCCAAAAGAACTTATTTTTACTATTACCTAAAATGTTAATTTCCTTGCATTTTGTTCATTAACTTATGTTTGCCCACCAGGAAACCCTAAACTTTCTGTTTCTTTGAAGAAAACTGTTCTTCACTAAATGGTGCTAAGGTCCTAGTTTGCTTTCCTGTTGCTGTGATAAACAACATGACCAAAAGCAACTTGGGGACAGAAAGGGTTTATCTGGCTCACACTTCCAAATCACAATCCATCACTGAGGGAAGTCAGGGCAGTTCAAGCAGGAACTATGAATGCTTCTTACTGGCTTGTTCTCTCTGGTTTGTTCAGCTAGCTTTCTTGTATAGCCCAGATCCAGCTGCCACCCACAGTGAATTGGACCCTCCTACATCAATTAGCAATTAAGAAAATGCCCAGGACTATCTGATCACGAAGTCCCCAGTTGATACTCCCTCAGATAGCTCTGGGCTAGGTCAGGTTAACAACTAAAGCTAACCAGAAGACTAAACAAAGGGTATGTGCACATGTAGGTGGAGAACTGTGAACATAGGAAGAACCACAGAGAGGACTGCCCTTCCCCTGTGTAGTGCTTACTCTGAAGCTGAGGTGCCCCTTTCCCAAAGAGAACCTAGGAAGACATAGTGCCTCTAAGCTCATAATGCTTATAGGTTCATAGAAACAGTTTTTAGAATAGAAAAATATCTTGAATTGTATCTACTTTAAAACTAAGATAGTAAGAGATTTTTAAATCATAACTAAGTGAGGTATTGTTTTCTTAAGCACTTGTTTTATGCTGCTCTCACTGAGTACCTTAAAATTATATTTTACTTAATCTGAACAGTCTTCTGGCAAACATAATTATCTTCCTATGGCTGATAAGGAAATTGAGGCAGAGGGAAAAATTAATATGTGTATGATCTCTCAGCTTATAGCTGGTAAAATTAGAACTTGAACTAAATTGGTACTATAGCATAATAATTTGTGTGAAAGAATTCTCTACTCCACCATAATATTCAATTAAGCTTTTCTTTAAGCAGGCATTACAGTATCAGAGAAGGGCCTAGATGGTAGAGTAAGACACATCTGGATTTGAAATCTAATCATAAGACCCTGGGTAAGAGGCTACTACCCTCTCTGGTCTCAGCCCCCTCACTTATAAAGTGAAAAACATGTGCCTAGTACATGGCACACGTCCAGTGAACAGGAGATACGTTCTTTAGGGCGTTTACCTAGCACTTTTCATACTTAGACTGTTTGGGGGTTTTGTTTTTTGTTTTTTTCCCTCGGAGCTGAGGACCAAACCCAGGGCCTTGAGCTTGCCTAGCTAAATCCCCAACCCCTAGACTGTTTTATAAAACTCTGGCCTCTATACTTGAAGAACATACCTTGACAATGGCATAAAATTATCTTTTTTTGCCTACACTTGAAGGCTTGAGACTTTCATTTTGCCCGTTTTATGAACATGCTAACTCTGTTCAGAATAAAAAAAAATCTTAATAAATACAATATAAGAAATATGATTTATCTTAATTGTGAGAAATCAGCCTCCATGTAGGGAAAACTAGCATGTGACATTGAAGAAATTCTGGCTTGAGTCGTATAAGTAAATGATCACTTCTTGTAGAAATATTGAGATGATTAACTTCTTTGCTCTTAAGGTTCTAAGCTCCAAACTCATGCCAACAGCGGATGACGATATGGCAAGAAGCTGTGCAAAATCCTTCTGTGAAAACTTCCTGAAAGCAGGAGGTTTGAGGTTCGTGACTTATAAAAAATTAATATAGTCATATTAGCCAATTTATCCTGCAGAAGCCTTGTTTATTCCTCATGTGTTATAATAAAAATATCCTTTAGAACATTTTTCTTCATGAAGCATGTCTCTTCCCTCTGGTAGTGAGGAAATTCTCAAGAAGAGATTAGGTGAGGAGGCTGCCTCTCGTTTTGTTTTGTTTTGTTTTGTTTTGTTTTGTTTTGGAGTCCCCTATCAGTTTAGAAATAAGGTAAATTTGGTTTTCAGTATTGCAGTGGTATTGGTGCTGGTTGTGCAGGAATAGTTGGGCATAACCCTGCTGTTCAGAGACTTAGCTTTAACGAAGAGTAACTAGCTAGCTGGCCAGAAAGTATTAAAACAGGGGCATATGACCTATATGACCTTCCTAAGGGAAGGAAGACAAAAAAGTAGTGATTAAATGTTTTGGAGTAATACAGCTAGGAAATGCTTCACGGAAAAGGACCTTTGAGGTGGAAATTGAGAGTGAATAGAAATTCCTTAATTAATAAGGAGAAAAAGTGTTTTAACCCAGGTAGAGGACAGAATGAATAAAAGCCCAAACATGTATTGTTTGTCTTCTGTACTCCAGTTAGACCTGAGTAGAAGGTAAAAGGTGAAGAAAGGTACTCTAGGCAGGAAGGAATGAAGACCACTTAAGCTTGTGCAAAGGATAGTTAACAGAAATCTCTATAGAGGTCTGGCAGGGAGGAGAAGTCGAGCAAGGACCTTAGAGATATGAAGGGATGGAGATAGAGAAATGAGGATAAAAAGAATTCCCAAAAATGGAGGGTCTGATTCCTTGAGACAGGGTCTCACTGGATAGCCCAGGCTAGCCTAGAATTTACTGTGTGACCCAAACCTGCCTTGACCTTGTGGCACCTCCAGCCTCAGCTTTCCCAGGTCGTGAATTTTACAGGTGTGAGCCACTACACCCAACTTTTATACATTTTAAAACTGTTCTTAGTAAAAAATCATTTCAAATGACCCAGGCATTTGCACATTCATGATGATCAAAGCTTGATGACTTGAGCTTATTTGTGCTTATTAGAAACCAAGTAAAAGTGAAAGCTTGGGTACAGAGGGTTGTGATTCTTAATAGGAGGGTCAGGAAAAGCTTCATCTGGTGGGGAGACATTTTACAAAGACCTGAAGAAGATGAAGGACGCAAGGCCTGAAGAGACCTGGGAACAGCTCTTCAGAAGAGCAACCAGTATATACCCTTGTATGGAGGAGCTACCTGGTACCTATGTATGTCACAGGAAGCCCGAGTGGAAAACGTCGAGTGAGGCAGAGGTGGGATGTGAAGTTACACAGATGCCAAATGTATAACACCGTCTATCTGTACAGATTGCCTTTTTCCCACGTAGGAAGCCACTAAACAACTGTGCAGGAGAGTACTGCAATCTGATTTCTATTTTTAAAAAAATCACTCTATTCTTTTGAGAATAGATTTGGAGGGTGGGGAGGCAAGAATGGATTAGGAAACTTTTGTAGTAATGTAGGGTGCAGTGGAAATGAAAAATGAGTTTGAGTATAATTCTTGATATATTTTTTATTTATTGGTTCTACCAGTACCAAGATAGTGATTGTTTGGTGATAACAAACCAGTTAGTGAGGAAGGCTATCATGTGAACACACTGTCTCTAGTATCTAGTATCTGTTTGGCCGTCTAGGAGTCTGATTCAAATGACCAGCACAGTAACGTTTATTACTATGATAGAAATAGGCATAAGTACCCGGTGTGGTGGTGCACACCTTTACTCCCAGCACTCAGGAGGCAGAGGCAGGCAGATCTCTGTGAGATCAAGGCCAGCCTGTTCTACTTAGTAAGTTCCAGGCCAGCTGGGACTACAGGGAAATCTTGTCTAAAAATACCAAAAAAGAAGGGCTGGAGAGCTGGCTCAGTGGTTAAGAACACTGGTTGTTCTTGCAGAAAACCCGGGTTCGAATCCCAGCACCACATGGCAGCCAACCACTGTCCTAACTCCAGTTCCAGGGATCTGACAGTCTCTTCTGTCCTCTGTGGACATTGCATGACACAGGTGCACTAACCTACACACAGGCAATACACGCATGCACATGAAATACAAATAATAAAATATTTTTTAATACCAAAAAAGAAAGAAATAGGCATAAGTATAGAATCTTTTGTAAGACTTTATATGTAAGAGTCTGCAGAAAGTAACTAAGAACATTTATGGGCTATTACACTAGTAACAATTTCCTATGAAAAAATTAAGTCATTAATATACTGCCTTTTTTCTTTCTTTCCAAGTTTGGTTGTAAATGTCATGCAGAGGGACTCCATCCCATCGGAAGTAGACTATGAGACCAGGCAGGGTGTTTACTCCATCTGTCTACAGCTTGCAAGGTATGCAAATGCATTGCATTAGTGTTACAAGGCAAAATTTTATTTTTCTTCCTAAATTTTGCCATTTTTGTCATGTGAAATAACCTCAAATAAGTGTAGCTTTTCCTTCTTAAGGTTTTTACTCGTTGGACAGACGATGCCAACATCATTAGATGAAGACCTCACCAAAGATGGCATAGAAGCACTTTCTTCTCGTCCATTCCGAAATGTCAGCCGGCAGACAAGCAGACAGATGTCCCTGTGTGCTACCCCAGAAAAATCATCCTACAGGCAGTTGTCAGTATCAGATAGGTCTTCCATCAGGGTTGAGGAAATCATCCCTGCTGCTCGAGTTGCAATACAAGTAAGTGGCTGGTGAATTCGTGAAATATTAAGTACCTCCTGCTTGGGAGAGGGAATTACGTGAACATAAAATGATGGCCGTGTGAATATTGTTTTCAAGCAATTTAGAGTGAGGAGGAGGGAGACTACTAGTGCAGAAATCGCTTAATCAAGTTGAAAGTTTCAAGTGTTTTAAAACTACAAAAGCCAAGCATTCTTTAGGCCTTGGTAGCAAGTGGAATAATTTCCTTCTGTGCTGTCACGTGTGATTTGTTTTGGAAATGGCATTTGAGCTAGGTCTCAAAGACTAGATGGTGAACAGAATGAGAAGAAACTTTCAGACAAAAGTCACAAACAAAACCAGAGTTTATATGCATGGTCACAAGGCCATTCATGAAATGTACTATGTAGGAAAAGAAATAACAGAATTGAAATTGGGGAATGATTAATTGAAACCTGAGCACAGAGACCAGAATCTGTTTACAAATTAACAAAAATATTAAAAGTGAATATATGGCGGTGTGAGAAAGGCTGTCTTCTGGTGATCTGGGAGGGAAAATATTCTTAACCTGAGGCCGCAAAAACGTTAGAGAAGTTAGTGGGCAAGTTCAAGGACTGCCTTTCTCATAACATTCTTTCCATGCCTCCTTAGACTATGGAAGTAAGTGACTTCACTTCTACTGTGGCTTGTTTCATGAGATTGTCATGGGCTGCGGCTGCAGGACGGCTGGACCTTGTTGGCAGTAGTCAGCCAATTAAAGAAAGTAATTCCCTGTTTCCTGCTGGAATTCGAAACAGACTCAGCAGTTCAGGTACTGATTTAAAAAGAGACAGTAATAAGAACATTGGCAAGAAGTAGTCATAAGACGTGTGGAGTTTCTGCATATGTGTAGAGTTTTCCGAGTCATAAGAAACTTTCTCCTACACCAGCCCTAGTGGTGCACACCTTCAGTCCCAGCACTCAGGAGGCACAGGCAGCCTTATTTCTGGGAGACTGAGGCCAGCCTGCTCTACATTGTAACTTCCAGGCAGAATGGGGCTATGGGAGACCCTGTCTATAAACAACAACAACATGAGTAAAGATTCATCAGTCCTATTATTTGTACACATTTCTATCTATATGACATATCTTATTTAAGAGAAAAGGCATTAGGCTGGGCACATACCTTTAATCCCAGCACTCAGGAGGCAGAGGCAGGCAGATCTCTATGAGATAGAGAGACCCTGTCTCAAGAAGAAAAGGACTTTATAAGTGCATAGAATAAGTAGAGAAATCAAACTTCAAAACCTGTAGCTTTACTAAGTATTAAAGTGTTGGGGACTGGAGAGATGGCTCAACAGGTAAGAGCAGTGACTGCTCTTGCAGAGGACCCGGGTTCAATTCCCAGGACCCACATGGCGGCTACGAACCGTCCTTAACTCCAGTTCCAGGGGAATCTGAAGCCCTCTTCTGATGTCCGTGGCATTGCACGACATGGGTGCACTCACATACATGCAGATAATACAATCATACACATAAAATAAAAATAATAAAATACTAAAAATTAAAAAAAAAAAGTGTCATGAGGCCAATTTGTAGCTGTAACACTAATTTACCCAGAATTCTGTCATGGTAAACAGTTCTTTTCTTTGTTTGGTAACAGCACCTTTAGTGTGTGTATATGTGCATATGTATGGAGCCCAGAGGTCAATCTTAGATGTCCTTACTAGGATGCTATCCACCTTATTTTTGTTTTTTATTTGTTTTCTTTGCGGGGGGGGTTGAGACAGGGTCTCTCACCTGTCTGGAAGTTACCAGTTAGGCTAGGCAGGCTGACTAGCAAGTCCTAGTGCTCTGCCAGTTTTATCTCCCCAGTGTGTGCCACCATGCCCAAATTTTATGTGGATTCTTGGTATTGAGATCAGGTCCTCATGATAGTTTTAAAATTACGGCATACAGAGACTGGAGAGGTGGCTCAGCAGTTAAGAGCATTGGCAGCTCTTGCAGAGAACCTGAGTTTGGTTCCCAGCACTCACATGGCAGCTAACAATGATCCCTAACTCTAGTTCTAGGGGATTCGACACTCTCTGGCCTCCATGGACATTGCTTGCATGGGTGCACTTAAATACATGCAGACAAAACATTCATACACATTAAAATTTTAAAAATTAAGGCATAATAAAACGCATAAATATTAAGTAAATATTTTTAGGATTTTTATATGCATATAACCCATCGAAATCACCAAAGATATGAGACCTTCTGAATATGCCAGTAAGGTCTCCTCATGCCTCAAAATTGCAGAATTCTTTCTTCTACCACCTGAAATTTGTCCTGTGAACCCATTTTGAATTCCTGCAAATGTGTATAAAGACAAAGCAGTTAGAGTGCATATAATGCAGTGATTGAATTTCTTGCTTCTTAGCAGTGCTCTTTTTTGAAGTAATAATGTTGTACAGGGATTCTAAATCATTTATTAAAACTCTTCACAGTTCCTAAAGGGGCCACAGTAGATGTCTACTTATCTACTTTCAGGAAGCAATTGCAGCTCTGGAAGTGAAGGAGAACCAGTGGCCCTGCATGCTGGAATCTGTGTCCGACAGCAATCTGTATCCACCAAAGACTCCTTGATTGCTGGAGAGGCTTTGTCTCTTCTTGTTACCTGCCTGCAGCTCCGGAGCCAGCAGCTAGGTAGGAGGAGGCTTGTTTGTAATTACTTTTTTTCAGGGAAGGGCCAGATTTCTTTTAGGAATTATTGACTTTGCTTCATAGATAAGATCCTTTTCATGAGAATGAAGGCAGAGGGGAAAAGTTAGGATATGGAGTAGGTAAAAGTAGTGCTAGAGTGGTTCATTCCACAGGAGTGTTTATTGAACACCTTCTGTACATAGGCACCTACACATAACACACAAGATTCCACAGCAGGTGTTACAGGATAAAACATTCCAGGTCACTACTTTATGAATTAGGTAATCAGAATTGTACATTCCTAGTAATAACTCCATTATTAGAAATTATGAAACCTAGGCCTGGCCCTTTTATCTTTCTTACTGACTTTGGAGGAATCTGGGGCTTAGTCCTTCAATATTTCTGCTTTGTCTTCCCCCTTTTTCTTCGTGGCCCCATCTAAGTTCACAGCCTTAAATCCACCTAGATGCTGGCAACAAACACTTTAGCTTGGATCTGTAGCCTGGACCACTCCCCCTGATAGCTCCATTAGGATATCAAATAGACATCCCAAACCTAACCTGTCCAGCACGAGACTTTGATCTTAACAATATCACTCAAAAGTTTTCCCAAATTATGGACAGTTTTAGCATCCTTTATACTCTGGCTAACATCCTTGGAGTAACTCTGGATTGCTTTTTTCCACACCTACTTTTGCTCAATCAACTCGTTCTCCTTCATGCTATATCTGGATTCTGCCATTTCCCAAGTACTGACCTAACTAATCTTCTTGCTTCTGCCCTTGCAGTTTATTCTGCATATGGTAACCAGAGAGAACCTATTATTGTATTGGTCATATTGTGTCACTTCTCCTTCAGAGCATTTTGGACTTCTCTGTTCACCCATAGTAAAAACCAGCTCTTTATTAAAACCTCAACATAAGCCACTATACCAGTAATTCTCTATGTTCTCTGCTTTCTACTTTGTCCCTTATTCACAGGCTTCCTTGCTGTTATCTCAGTATACAAGACACCTTCCTGCCACAGGGCTCTTACAGTGGCTGCTTACTCTCACACTCTTTTCTCATCTCCTAAGTCTTTACACACATTGTCCTGGTTAGACATTCCTTGATCTCTTTCTAAAAGCATTAAAGCCCCCCTGTGCCCTAGAAATACTCCAGTCTCTCCCTTTATTTTTTTCAACATCATTTATCTCTATAACCTTCAGTGTAATTCACTTATTAATCATGTTATTGTCATCAACTACCCCCACCCCGTCCTCAACTACATTGTAAGCCCTACAAGCCCTGGTGAATCTCCAGCACCCAAACACTGTCTAATATGTAGGTCTGCAGTAAATATCTAGAAACAAAGTCTTAACAACTCCAGTTTTAAAAATTGTACCAACACAGGAGCCTGGTCTTAGCTGCGACTGCCAGTTTCAGACCACCAGAGATGTAGAATTGGTGATCATGATGTATTCTGTGAACCATCCAAACTAATTATATAAATCAGATGTAAAGATACTATAACATAGAAGTAAAACATAGTTTTAACTTTATAATTATTTAAAACAGTAACTACAGTAATTTTTTCCCCCCTCTGAGCAAAAATGCATTTGAGACCAGGTGTAGTAGCACATGCCTTTAGTTCCAGCATTCGGGAGGCAAAGACAGGTGAATCTCTGAGTTCGAGGCCAGCTTGGTCTACATAATGAGTTCCAGACCAGCTAGGGCTACAGGAAAACCCTGTTTCAAAAAGAAAAAAGAAAAAAAAATAATAAGAATGCATTTGAAGATTTTATATGAGAAGTGTAAGTCATTATGAAATGGCTTTTTAAACCTATACCATACTCGCAGTTTTCCTAAAATTTTAGATTTAGGGAGTTTTCAAGTTTTCAAGATGGAAAAAAAATCCCAGCTTCTCCAAATTGTTATCTTCTTACCATGTATAAACTTATTTTAGGTTATAGTTGATAGTTACAGGTACTGTTAGTTTGTTAAGACAAGGCTCCTTTATGCTGATACGTATAATGCAAAGGTGACTCATGGCATAGCTCCTCCCTCTGAACACCTTAAAGTTCCATGGATTAGCGGACAAACATGGAGGCAGGTGTAGAAAAGCTTGAGCTTTGACACTGTAGAAACGAGGTAAGTTCCTGTTTAAATTTGAACTTAAGAAATTACTCAAAAATTTAAAAATTTGGAAAATGCTTTACTTTAGTCATTTCTCCCCCTAATTCTCCTTGTTCTTCTTACTAGCATCTTTCTATAGCTTGCCATGTGTTGCTGATTTTATCATCGATATTCTGCTTGGATCACCTAGTGCTGAGGTAAGGATATTTTACATTACTTACAAAATCCCTTTGTCTTACTCTGGTGTGACCTTTCGTGAAAGCCTGTGGTGTTGTGGAGAGTATAGAGGGAATGACTGCAGGTCACTCTGAAGGAAAAGTGACTACTTAGACTATGCAAGCCCTCCTTTCTGCTGATTCCTCCATAGCCCAACAAAAGTTTCAGCACTAGTGTTGTCATATTGATGTTTATTTATAACTTGCAGTGTTAAGCATCTGTAACTCTCAAGGGCAGCAGGCATTAAGCATCATCATGTTGATCAAAATCTGAAGAGATCAGCTTCAAGCCATGAACTTTCATTAGATGTTTTCTTTCTTACATGACCATGAAAATGAACTTTTAAAATATCTGAGATTTTCTTATCTTCATTAAGTTATAAGTGTATTGACTAAAGTAGTAGAATAATTTGGAAAAATCAGTTCCCAAAACCACACTTATTTTTAATTAGTCAAATTACTCAGTAGAATCTTTATCAATCAAAAGTAGAACACTCTAGCATCTTACAGTTGCTTGAATGAATAGTGTAGATTTGCAGGGAATCACTTTTAAGTAATCTTATCATTGACTGAAATTTAGATGACACATGTCCTTTGCCACTGGTCACGTTTCAGATCCGCCGGGTTGCCTGTGATCAGCTGTACACTCTTAGTCAAACAGACACGTCAGCTCATCCAGAAGTGCAGAAGCCAAATCAGTTTCTCTTAGGTGTCATTCTCACAGCTCAGCTGCCTCTCTGGTCCCCAACCAGTATCATGAGAGGAATCAATCAAAGGTATGTAATAAAGGCAAAAGAGCTTGGGTTCCACAGAGAGAATGGACACGTGATTCTTGGTACTGGAGATCCTACTCCTGTAGGATCCATAGTGCATTCTTGATAACTAGAAAGCTTTTCCTTTCTTTACCTACAGTCCAGGCCCTGAAAGAAGGCACTTATGTTTTCTCCCCATTCAGGACAGGACAGACTTCCTTCTCTGTCATCCCTGTTTCCCACTCTACCCTGCCTGATTGATGAGACTCTGAGGTTATTTAAGCCAGTTCACTAGGTAGAGGTCACACTGCTCCTGTCCTTATGTGTATTGAAAGACTTAATTTTCTGATCCATAAACACAGGGTATCTTTATTACATATTTAAATTTTTTCAACTGTACTTCATTTTCACTCTATAAGACTTGTCTCCTTGCCAGATGTTGTGGTGCACGCCTTAATCCCAGCACTCAGGAAGCAGAGGCAGGCAGATCTCTGTGACCTAGAGTTCCAGGCCAACCAGAGATACATAAAAAGATCCTGATTCAGAAACAAATAAAACTTGTCTCAAGTTGTATTTTATTATTGTTGCCACCATTGTAAATGAATTTTTTTTTTATTTTTTAAATTCCTTTTTAGGTTGAACACTGTTAGTATGAGAAACATAGCTGACTTTAGTTTGTTGAGTTTTCTATACTGTAACTTTGCAAAATTCACTAACAGGGTTTTTTGTGGTGTGTGTGAAATCATTGGGGTTTTCCATATATTATATATAAGATTATCTGATCAGTATATAGATAATTTGATTTCTCCTTTTCCAGTTTGGGTGCCTTTTGTCTTGCCTAATTGCTCTGACTAGAATGATTCTGTTGAGAGATGATGAAAGTGGGCTTCCTGTTCCTACTCATAGGAGAAAAGCTTTCCATCTTTGACTGTTGAGTATGATGTTCACATAGATTTTTTTTTTAATTTGTAGAATTTAATATGTTGTGATAAATCCCTTCTGTTCCCACTTTTGGATAAATGTTTTGACCGCAAAATGGCATTAAATTTTGTCAGATGCTTTCTTTCTGTATCACTTGAGCTGATCACGTAGGCTCCTTCCACTCGCTTTCTGTTAATATGAAATTTCAGTGATTTTTTTTTTCATGTTTGCTGTCATTGTATTCCAGGAATTCATCTCATTCATGGCATGAAATTTTCTAAGCACATTGGTTTGTTCATATGTCGTTGGAGATTTCTGCTTCAGTGTTTATAATGGTGTTGCTCTGTAGTTTTAAGTGTTTGATAGACTTCACCAGTCAAACCATCTAGCCTAGGCTTTTTCTTTGTTGGGAGTTTTTTGATTACCTCTTTTTTCTTCTGTTATGTCAGTATTTGTATTTCTGGGAATTTTTCCATTTCATCTAGTTACTAAATGTTTGTGTTCATTTGCTTATGGTACTCTAATAATCCCTTCTGTGAAATGAATAGTAATATTCTCACTTTGATTTCCAAGTTTAACAACTTGATTCTTCAGCTTATTTTACTCAGTCTAACCAAAGAGTGTCCCATTTTTAAATAACTTGATTTTTCTGCATTTTTCTATTCTCTCTGTTACTTATTTTCAGCCTAATGTTTATTACTTTCTTCTGCTGGATTAGGATTTAGTTTGTTCTTCATTTTCAGTTTCTTTTCATGCTGTAAAGATGGTTGGATCTAGTATCTTTATGGTTCCTTTTTGAGACAGGGTCTCCCTGTAGCTCCAGCTGACGTGGAACTTGCTACGTACACCAGGCTGGCCTCAATCTCATAGAGATTAAACTGCCTCTGCCTCCCAAGTGCTGGGATTAAAGGTATGCGCCACCATACCCAGCTTTCTTTCTGTTTTTTTGGTTTTTTTTTTTTTAATTTAATTTTATATATGAATGTTTTTGCCTGCATGTAAGTGTACCACATGCCTTCAGTGCCCATGGAGACCAGAAGAGGGCACCAGATTCCCTGAAACTGGAGTTACAGTCAGTTGTTAACTGCCATGTGGGTACTAGGAACTGATCCTAGGGTCCTCTGCAAGAATAGCCAGTGCTCTTAGCCACTGAGCATCTCTCCAGACCCCTCAAAAAAATTTTAATGTCCTATTCCTGTATGTCATTAGTACTTGCCATAGCTTACCTATGTGCCACACCATTAACTAAGTTTTTTTATGTATATTTATCCTTTACTCTCAGAATAGCCAAATGAGTTTGGCTATTCTGTTATCTCTCTTCATTTTTTTAACAATCATTCTTGGTTTGTTATATATGCTTGAGTCTTTTCTATCTGTGAATATACATGCATGTTTATTAAGACTATAATAAGCATTTTATAAATTAGAAAACTGAACTGGGCCACGCCTTTAGCCCCAGCAGTTAGGAGGCAGAGGCAGGTGGATCTCTGTGAGTTAGAGACCAACCTAGTCTACATATTGAGTTCTAGGCCAGCTGGGGCTACAGGGAGACCCTGTCTCAAAAAGAAAAACAAACAAAAAACAAACAAACAAAAAAAAAAACCCAAAATTAGAAAACTGAGAGAAGTGAGATTTCAGTGGACACCAACTATGAGCAGTGGAACCAAGATGGAAAGGTGGAAACCAGGGCTTCTCTTGTTCTAAGACCTCTGTTACCATCCACTAGGATTGCAGAAAGCATCACCTTGGTTTGTTCTACATACTTCCTATCTCTTTCTCCTTTATTTTGCTTTATTCTTTTGTTCAGTGTTTCTTAAAATAGTCACCAGCATCAGACAGGTGATTGGTAGGTATTAGTTGACATTTCAGTAAATAAATGCAACCAATGCCTGTGTTATTTAAAAATATGATACATTTTTTTAACAAAACTAATTTACTCCATACTAAAATTAGAACTTTAATGTAAGGTAGTTGTTTTATGCTTAGTCAGATTACCTTGCTCAGTTGCTTGCTTTGCATAACCTCTGCTTTGTTTTAGTTTTTTTGTTTTGTTTTGTTTTGTTTTGTTTTTTTGAGACAAAGTCTCACTACTATGTAGCCCTGACTGGCCTGGAACTCACAGAGAGCCACCTGTTTCTGCTTCCTGAGTGCTAGGATTAAAGGCATGTGCCACCACACCCAGCCCATCATCTTATTTGTGTAAAGAAAATGCTTTAAAAAGAAAAGAAAATCAACCTCTTTTAGTAACTGAAACCTATCTGTTTTTTAGACTGCTATCTCAGTGTATGGAGTATTTTGATTTGAGGTGCCAATTATTAGATGATCTGACAAGTAAGTAAATGACTAATTTTGATTTGGGGAGGGAGAAATAGAAAAGAAGGACATATCTTTCTGTATCTGATCTGTATCAAGTGTAAACAAGAATACAATCAATTTTTACTGTTGGGTTTTGTTTTCTTGGAAGTAGCATGTAAATCCATGTGCCATTGAGCTCTACTTCTGTGCATACCCAACCATTAGTATATAGAAAAGATTTGTTAATTCAAAAAATTGCTAAAGTCTCATTTAAAAAAATATTTTATTATTTTTTATTTTATGTGTATGAATATATTGCCTACACATATGTGAGTGCACCCATGTTATGCAGTGCCCGAGGAGGTCAGAAGAGGGCATTGGATTTCCCTGAAACTGAGTTACAGACAGTTGTTAGCTGCCATGTGGGTGCTGGGATTCAAACCCAGGTCCTTTGCAAGAACAGACAGTGCTCTTAACTGCTGAGCCATCACTCCAGCCCCTAAAGTCTCATTTTAATGGTACTCAATTAGTGTGAAGGGTCATACTTTCTAGTATAATCTATTCTAACAGGTTTTTTTTTTAAGATTTTATTTTATTCATGTGTATGTATATGCGTTTTTTTATGTGAATGTATGCCATGCGTTCCAGTGCCTGAAGAGTGTCTCTAATCCCCTGGAGCTGGAGGTATAGGCAGTTATGAGCCTCCTGAAGTGGGTTCTGGGAACCAAACTTAGGTCCTCTAAAAGAGAAGCAAGTGCTCTAAACTGCTGAGCTCTCTCTCCAGCCCTGGTTTCACAGTTTTAGACGTTGATTGTTGAAGGGAAGATGGAACTGCTGAAGCATGTTGATAGAGGTGCAAGTCAGGTTGGTGCTTGAAGTAGCAAGTGTTAGAAAATTGTCTTTAGTGTGTGGAGATTTTACTCATTTCCTTTAAAATAATGCAGGCATACATTGGTAGCAATGCAAATCTTCTGTGTAAATTATAGTTGTTCAAACCAGTAGTTTATTAATTAATTCCCATTCTTCACTCCCAAATTTGGTTTAGCTTAAAGGAAATTAAATGAAACTCAGGATAAACAAAAATATTTATTGGAATAGAAGCCAGGTAGAAATAAACTTATCCTCTCTGTATGCAAGCTGTACAGCCCCACACAGTTAGAATTTGTTCATAAGGTTCCTGGAGGCCAAAGCTATAAAGGAAACTGTATGCAGTTGTACTCTATGCCTTAGAAGAAGAAACAAAATGGCTTCCAAAGAAGCAAATTTTGCTGGGCTTGGTGGTGCACACCTTTAATCCCAGTTCTTGGGAGGCAGAGGCAGGTGGATCTCTGTGAAGATGGACACCAGACTGGTCTACATTAGTGAGTCCCAGGCCAGCTGAGGCTATAGGGAGACCCTGTCTCAAAAAAGAAAATGAAAGAAGTAGCAAATCTTTTTTCTAGCACTTAATTCTAAAGTAGATTGCATGCAAAAATTTTTGTGTAATGGCACAAAGCTCTTGTGACTAATTCTCAATAGCATCTCTGAAGGCAAATAAATGCCTTCATTGGTTTCAAATTAGGACACAGTCTAAGCAAATGATGAGGTTGATTTTGTTGGAGACTAAGGTAACATGGCATATGTCTTGATTCATGGAGAAGATCTTCCATATCTAGAAAAGTAGGACACTGTCCAACTAAATACCTATCCTAATAGGCACCTTTTGGCCGTACTTCCAGCATAGAATGCAGTCCTTGTTTAGCATGGTAAGAGAAACAAAACAGAGTAGTTCTCTGGAGGTTGTCTCATGATTAGAAATTTGGGATTGTGATGCAGGGAGTTGACTTCTTTCTCCTTAGTAGACCTCCAGCTTGGTTTAGGAAGCACTGCTGTAGTCTTGGCTGTCCTCATCCCTTTCTTAGGCATCTTGTTGCCCAAACCAGGTGCTTTGTCAAAGCAATGATTGTCCCCATCATTTCATATACTCAGCATGGTGGGTGTAGCCAACCGTTTAGGTTATGCAGGAGTGAGCTTTCATAGTCTCTGTGGACAGGTGATTATTAATGATAAGGTTTGTGAAATCTGTGAAGTAAAAGATTGAGACTTGACTTTCCTTAGTTTAATTCAGGACTTTGACTCCATGAAGAGAAATCTTTTCTTTGTAATGGATTTCCATCTCCATTCCCCTTCTTAGCTTCAGAAATGGAGCAGTTACGAATCAGCCCAGCCACCATGCTTGAAGATGAGATTACATGGCTGGATAACTTTGAACCTAATCGTACTGCAGAATGTGAGACCAGTGAAGCAGACAACATCCTATTGGCAGGACATTTGCGGCTCATTAAGACCCTGCTTTCGCTCTGTGGGGCAGAAAAGGAAATGCTTGGTAATTATTGCTTCATCTTATCAGGTGGCAGAGTACTTTACCTCTCAGTTATTACCATAGTGCAATATATAATTGGGATAGTAGGACAGTTGCTAAATGTTTCATGGAAAATTGACCCTTGCCAAGTAGAAATTGTCTGCAATTTTAGTGGCTAGCAAATTTAATGAATATTTTACTTGTGTCATTAAACCACATAGAGAATTTTACTTAATTCAAAAAAAAAAATAGAATCACATAATTCTTACTATTATTTATTTAATTTGATTTGATTTTTTTATTTTTTGGTCTCTTTAAGACAGAGTCTCCCTGTAGCCCCAGCTAGCCTAGAACTCACTATGTAGGCCAGGCTGGCCTTGAACTCACAGAGGTCTGACTGCCTCTGCCTCCCAAGTGCTGGTATTATAGGCGTGTGTCACCATGCCGGGCCTAGAATCACATAATTATTAATATAGAATAAAAAACTATAATTCAGAGTAGCTTTATCTCTTTTTCTGCTGTTAGGTATTTTATAATCTTTATTCTTTTTTAAAAATTATTTAATCACATAATTAGAAGAAGCATTTCATTACAACAGCATTAACATATATAGCAATTTCCAGAGCAAAGGTGCATCTCTTTCAAAAGTGGCTGTAAATTTTTAGGTTTACAGTTGAATTGATACAGTTATACAATATTGTACTCAGTATAAACCCTATAAGACATAAAATTAAATAGGAAGGTAACCCTAGCCGTCGCCTCCTCAGTGGCAGGGAAAATATGAGATTCTCCAAGTGTATACTTACAATTTGGAAAAGTATATACAATGTTATAAATTATACTCAAAAAACAAACCAAAAATTAACTACCTCAGTTACAGCACCAGCTAAACTCTACAGAATCTTCTTGGATATTGGGGATACATAGAAAAGAGTGATTCTTAACCAGGAAGGAAGAGGAAATATCACTTTTGTCTGAAGAAAGCAAGGCTTAAAAGTTTCATAAACTCTTGTATGAGCTTCCTGATGCCCAGAGTAAGAATTACTCACCCACCATTCTGCCTTGATGTATTCTTGGCGCTTACGTTTCCAAGGTGGAAGATTAACTCCTTTTACTATTGTAGGCTCATAAATGAAGGCACCCTTACTTGCCTACCTTTGTACCTTGTTTCTTGGTCCCACCACCCCATAGAGCTTTGCCATGTAGTAAGTGCTCAAAAAATAAGTACTAAACCAGATGCTCTGCTGTTGGGTGGCCTCAGGTGACTTTGCTGCTCTGGTAGGAAATTGCAAGATAGGATCTTTGAATTAAAATCTGTGTTCATCCTCAACATGATATTATGCTCTGTTCCAGGTTCATCACTCATTAAACCATTGTTAGATGACTTCCTTTTCCGAGCTTCTAGAATTATTTTAAATAGTCATTCTCCAGCTGGCAGTGCCGCCATCAGTCAACAGGATTTTCATCCAAAGTATGGAAAATGCACGTTGTGTTCAGTTTTGGTAAAATTTCTTAATTTTCAACTGTAGTCCAAAAAGGATTTTCTTAAGTTGGAGTTTGTCTTCCATCTTGTGAGTCTGTTTGTCCTATATTATCTGCCATGTAAACAAATGAATGCAAAGGGCCTTAGTATAAAACCTGCCTCGAATGTTGTGACACAAGAGTGTGCTGGTACAGTCCTCATCATCAAGGTGGAGCGTAAATGTTAGCCTGCTCAGTAACACATTCGAAGAGAAACAAAGGTGACAAGAATTACGTATAGGGGCTGGGAATGTAGCTTAGTGGTAAGCACATGCTTAGCCATGCCGGAGGCCCTGGGTTCAATCTCCAACACCAAACAGGGAAAATTGAACTATTTCCAAAGCAGATAGACTCCAAGTAAAGGATCTGGGATTTCTTTGGGGGAAAAGACTAAAAAGCTGTAGTTATTTGAGCCTTTTCATTTGCTGAGCCGTACTGTGTTCTTACCTGCAACTGCTAGTGACTTACTACAGTGGTAATTTTGGAATCAATTTTTGTATTAGTCTTTATAAATACAAATTTGAAATGTCTCTGTGTAATGTTGACCCTACTTGAGTGATATTTAGACTTTTGTCCATAGAAGAGGCAGCCATAAGCTGCCACTTCCTTGCTCTGAATCCAGCTACTTTGCTAGAGAACAGAGTTAATTAACTGACCTGAAGAAACTATAATCTCAGAGGTGACTGAGATAGACAAGGCATAATAAGCACTATTTTATGGAGTCCTGTGAAATATCAATACTCCTCTAGCAAGAGACTCCTTATTAGCAGTCTACTGGGAGGCAGGGGGTGGTATCAGGAGGACTGACTCTTGTCTGCTCCTTCAGGCTGTGAAACTATCCTCATTATTCCTGTCTAGTCTTGTTTTAGAAGATTTAATACTAGGTCCCTGGGATTCTTTAATTAAAGCAGCATAAATATATTAGTATTTTAATTTTCAGTAAACACAAAACAATATATCTCCAGTAGTTTTAATGAAATTTTTGCTGATGAATTCTTCACTTTATTAAAAGTAATACCTCTATCAGCAAGGTGTATTTTTTAAACTTCTTTATGTATATATAAAATGCCCTGAACGGAAAAAGAACCATTTTGTTTCACACTCTCCAGTATACTAAAGTTGTTCATTCATCACAATGACCTTTCCCACCAAAACCTTTAAACAACAAAAGTGAGATTTAAAATACATGAAAACTGTATTTGAAAGTAGTACTTTTAGCACAATAGTAACAGCTCCTTTCTGTACTTCCCCTGTTCATTTCTTGCTTAATCCATTTCAATCTATAAGACTAGACATGATCAAAGGACAGTGCTGCATCTGTGGCCCTTGTCCTCAATGTCTGGTGCAGTGCTAATCCAAGAGCCCCATAGCTCCCTCAACCATCTCCTTGACTTCTTAAGTGATTTCATGCAGAGGTTGAAACATCCTCTTTTCTCTGTATCCTTGCTAATATGTGATTAGCTCAGTGATGTAAGGTTGGCATTGATTATAGTTCAGACTTACTGCCTGTGTCCAAAAGGCAGACAGTAGAGGAAGTGTGCCTTCCCACATGTCACTTTAATAAATGAATTTGACAGGCTATTATTTCTATCTCCATTTTCTTCAACAAAATAGGAAGTTGATTAGTATCTTTTGAGACTTGTTGATTGTTGGGAATATAAAACATTTATAGATAGCTTCCTTTTTTTCTGCCACTTATTTAAAATAATTTTGTTGCTTATTTTCAGACCAAGAAGATACTGAGCTCTAAAACGTTCCCATCCCATCTGTAGTTACGACCTGTAGATTACTAGAGTTCTAGTGTATGCCTAACTTAACCATATTTAAGGAATTGCAGCACTTGTACTTTGTTTCAGTTGTTGATTTAGTTTAGTTAGCTGTTTGAACAGATTATTCATGTTGAAATTGACTTGCACTTTTTTTTTTCAGGTGTAGTACAGTGAATAGCCGATTAGCAGCCTATGAAGTCCTTGTCATGCTAGCTGACAGTTCACCCTCAAATCTTCAAATCATTACAAAAGAACTACTTTCTATGCATCATCAGCCTGACCCTGCTCTTACTAAGGAGTTTGATGTAAGTTTTTGAGACCAGGATACACATTTTTTATTATTTGTTTGTTTGCATGTATTCGTGTGTGTGTGTGTGTGTGTGTGTGTTTGTGTGTGTGTGTGGCATGTTGCATGCATGTAGAGACCAGAGGTTGACAATGGGTGTCTTCCTCAATCACACTCCACTTTATTTTACTGAGGCAGAGTCTCTGGTCTGAAAACCAGAGCTTGCTGATAGGCTAGTCTGAATGGCCAGCTTGCTCCATGAACCCACGTGGGCACTGGGCATCTCACTCCAGTCTTTCAGCAAGCACTGTACCTGCTAAGCCAGTGCCCCCATCCTCACTTATTTTTTTTAGAATACATAATTTTTGTTTTATTTATGTATTTATTTGGTGAGTATGTGTGTGCCCCTGATGGCAAGTGTGTAGAGATCAGAGGAAGCTTGTAGGAGTTAGTTCTTACCTTCCACCACCATGTGGGACCTTTTAAACTGGGATTGTCAGGCTTGGCAACAAGTTCCTTTACCCATTGAAATATGTCTCTAGCCCCTAAATAATCTAATTTCAAGACTGTATTTGCATTTGCCTAACCATAACAAAGTCAGTATTTTTTTGCATACTGTGTTCGCATACTAAAATCAACTAAACTTTTTAATCATGCTTAATCACTATAGGGTAGTATGAAATGGTGTCCTTTCAGTTAAAGAGGTAAGCATTTTCAAATTGATTGGTGGTTACTCTCAGTAAAAAGAAGCATTCCAAACATTTTTGTTGTTTTTGCTTTTTGTTTTACTAAGTTTATGCTGACATAGTGCTAGGAACTAGAGTTACAAATTCACATCAACATTGTCTCAGTGCTTAGTTAAGTTGAACAGAGATTCATAGTTTATCATTTTAAGAAATGTTTTAGACTTGAGTTCGGAAATGAAATATGACACAAGTTGTCAAGCAGATCGCAGCATATATAGTGGAAGACGGTCCTCTCCACAGATTGTTTCAACACTGTGTGGTCCAATAGAAGCTGGAGGAATGCCTGAATGCTATACTAACACAGAGGGACGCTTCCTCAGTGATGATATCTTAGAAAGCTTCTAGAGAAGATGAAACTTGAAACAGAGGCTCAAAGACTAGTAGCACCAGTAAACGCAAGGAAGGAATCGATTTGTTCCGTTCCAGTAGTGAGAGGAATGTGAACAACCGCAGCCATGAAACCACTACTGTGTGTTAGGGTCTGCAGGAGGGAAATACATGGAAGGTGCACTGGAGTGCCTGACAAGGGTGGGAAAACACTATCAAAGTTGTGCTTGCTTTCTTATCTGACATGATGGGATGACAGGCTTGCTGTTTGAATTAGGAGTTGGGTATGACTGAATATACAAGTTAGGATGCTAGGGACAAGCGTCCAGGCCAGAGGAAATAATACTCATAAAGAAGTAAAGATGTATGAGCACATAAATTGGGAAAAGAATTCATTTATAATGCTTTAGTTTGTAATGCTGTGCCTTATCTTTACATGTATTTACTTCAAGCTGGGGATTATACCAAATAACGAATAAGCCATTCTTAGATAAATATGGTTTTGACATTGTGACTAACCAGTTTTTTCTTCATAACTTTTAAAAACACATGCTTCATTCTACAAATAAATATCACTGTTTATAAGATCTTGGAAGGATCTTGATGTAAGTTAATATGTGATGTTACTGAAACATTAGATTCCTTGAGGTCCAAAAAAACCAACATGTTTTTGTCAGCTGTTTGGTTATTACGTGGATGCAAACACTTGATGTGTGTAGGCAGCATGACCTTGATTTTAGTATGAGAACCAAAATTCTGTTTTGACCACATTTCCATGTGTGATTATACCATCCTTTTCCACTTGGAGGGGTATCATATTGACTTAACCAAGATGCCTTTCTGGATTATTTCTATCAAAAAAAAAAAAAAAAACAAGTTTGAAATTGGCATTTAAAGAATATTGTTAGGGGGTTTTTTTGTTTTTTTTTTTGTATGTTTTTTAGAAACACTTTATAAAAAATAGGGTGTTTTCCTGTTGTTTAATTTGTATGCTTATTAGAAAAACTTTAATAGAAGAATATTGCCTTTTCTAAAAGCAGGAGGGAGGGAGGGAGGGAGGGAGAACTTTCTTTAATCATGTTAAAGTTGTCGTGCCCTGATGCATAGATAGTGTACTGCTTCTTTTTTCAGTCATCCCAAAGGGCTGTAGTACAAATGTGCCTGTGGTCAAATGCTCATCCTCTTCCCTACTGTTTCTGTTCCCCTTTCCCAGTTCCTTCCCCCAGTGGACAGCAGATCCAGTTCAGGGTTTGTGGGGCTGAGGAATGGTGGCGCTACTTGTTACATGAATGCAGTCTTCCAGCAGCTGTATATGCAACCAGGGCTCCCTGAGGTAATTTCCTTATTCCATTCTACTTGGCATGAGAGAGAATATGTGGGTTATCTGAAAATTGTTCCATATCTACTTATTGCTTCTTAGGTTTGCTGAAACTTGATGTGATTAAGGATTTTTTAAATTGAATTTTTGTGGTTTTTTTTATACAGTTTGATATTTTGATCCCCTCCCATATCCACACTTCCCCT